ATTCGTGTGCGAATCATTTCCAACATGATTTCCACTTGTCTTAACGGGAAGGAAAACATCGTGGGAAACCTGCATGTCTGAGAAAACTTAGTAAGTTTTCAAAAGACATGTGAAGTCCGCCAATCCGCACTTGGCCAGCGTGGTGGACTATTGCCTGATCCCCCTCGTACTGAAGGGAGGCCCGTGCCCAGCAGTGGGACGATAAAGTTAGTTAGTAGTAAAGAGAGCTATGTACAATATTCGTGTAAAGTAAAATTTAGTGACAATACATTTTTTAATGAAACTTTGAGGTTTATCTGCGCTACTTTCCTCATTTAATGTCTTCTTTACGATAGTAAAAATAAAAATATTGACACTGTGGGCTTCTCCTAGCCCACAACACCATTTGCCTCATATATTTTTAAATATATTCAATACATTAGCAACTACCCAAAAACGAGGCTTCATTCGGTTAGTTAATATATGCAGTTTTAAACATTTTATCGACGATCGCCGCTTAAAGATTATTCAATCAATATGAATGTTAATATGCAGGTCAATTATCAGCGCAGCGTTACAATTTTAGTTTTATTACATTTACGTATAATACCTACCTACTATTTTTATTACAATGAATGTAAAATTATTACACAGTTGTACTAAAATAAATAATGTAAATATTTATTGTTTAACCTAGGTTTATCCGTGCTACCTTGGAGCAACCCCATGGTTGTGGTGGTTTGCCTCGGCAGACCTGCCGTCAGGGCGTCGTAGTTGAATGCGTAAGCGATCCTGCGACGCCCCATTAAGACGGGGGAAGGTTTTGTTGGGTTTTAGTGGGTAGTACTGGCTTGGTCGGTTAGTCCCAACACCTCGTGCGTAAATGCATTTCCCAACGTTAAAAAAAAGGTTTATCCGTGCTAAATTATCAGATTTGTACTTAATGCAAACGTTACTTAATACTTGGGATATAAAATCAGCTTATAGTATTGTACGAACGTTTTTCTATCTTTATATTTACTGAACAAAAAACATTTTATTTAGAAGACAAACAAAAAAAGATAAAAACAAATCATTAAAATATATTTATTTTTCACAAGTATAGGATACTTGAGTAGAACTTAAGAATAGATTAGAGGAAGATTAGAAATTAAGGATTATTTTGATTTGATTTAGAAAAAAAAACAAATCTATCCCACGGGAACCGTACATTTTTCCAGGATAAAATGTAGCCTATGTCTTATTCTGATGTATGAGCTATATTATTGTAAAGTTTCATAAAAATCCATTCAGTAGTTTGTGCGTGAAAGAGTAACAAACATCCATACATCTATACATCCTCACAAACTTTCGCATATTTATAATATTAGTAGGATGTTAGTAGACATGGTAACTGATTTCGATTAGTTTATACAATGTACGTAGACTTTAGTGTTATTTTATATGTTTAATATGCGAGTTATAGAAAAACATTTAATTCCTAAATCATAAGTTTAGAAACCGACTCTAGAAATTTACGAAAAGCTCTACCTAAAAATTCAGCTTGGGAGTTTGATTTTATTCAGTTTTAAATAACTTCTAAAAAGGTTATTATGAATAGTTTTATTAGTGCTAACTGAAGAACTGACAAAGTATGTAAATAAATATGCCAGTATAAGTTGCACTATAAGTCATTTAAAAACCAAAAGATTAAACAAGTAGAAAGATAATAGTCTAAGATTCTGATCTATGTGGTGGACCTCTCATTCTTTTTTCAGGCAAAATATATTTTTAAACCATAAAACATATGACCATAGAGGACCCGGGGTGGTTATCAACAACAATTAGCTGCAGGCTTTTTTTTACTGTATCATTAAATTTGTTATAAAATTACCTACATTGTGATACTTGGTTTGTTCCGGAAAACGATACGAGCAATTAACTACTTCAATTTACCTGTTTGTACCTGGATGTCAGGCAATGTGTTCGAAAAAGGCCGCCAAACGTATGATGGTATTTTCTACAAGTCTTTTACTTTCGATTCATACTAATTTGTCACAGAAAAAGAGTTTTTGTAGTAACCTATAATACTTTCTTAGATTTACGCGAATGTTTGACATTATTAAATAAAACTATCTTTTCGGATTATTTAGCGGATTTATTTTGATTTTTGGTTCCCGACGTTTCGAATGCTTTACAGCATGTATGTATATAATGAACTCAAAGATTTTTTTTTGTCGACTGAGCGCGGGCTTAGTCGCGCAATCTGTATATATCTCAATTTCCATATTCGCCGTTCGAATAAAAAAATGCAGTTCAAAACATTTACATTTAAGCATACAATATTTTTAATTATTATCATAATAAAAAAGCGAGTCATAGGTTATTCCACAGGTTGACTCCGAGTAAACATAATAAAATAGCATATGTGGGCGTTTGGACTGCAGCCCAACTACTATAATAAACAGAATAAAAAAATATATCGCTCACAGCATTCGCACTGGATACTACGACGAACAAAACGTCATTAAAAATTACGCAAGTTGTTTACTTGTTGTGCCATGTGCTTCGCGTAGTTTGAAATATATCAGAATATTTAATACTTTCATTCATTTAAGTTATTTTAAATGCTAAAAAATTATTTTGTATTCGTTATTTAAATATGTAAAAAAACCTAAAAGATGGTTAAATGGGAGACGAAATCGCGCGCGAAAATTTTTATAAGTAGTATTTTATTCCATTGTAACTTTCAAATCTTATGCTTGGTTGTTTTAGAAGTAGAAAGAGAAAGGTATTAATGCTAAATTTAGAACACCTATAGTTACAATGCGATTTGATAAAGACCGTTCATTTTACATTTAATTCATCATGTACTTGAAATGATTTTTTTATATTCTAATTTGCCATTTAGAATTATCTGCAAAATAAGAATTGATACCGGCTTTACGTTTGAGATAAGGTTACGAATGTCTGTACGTGTACCAAATATACGGGAACTTACAAATGTTAAGTATACATTATTCCCACTGTATTTATTAGTCTGTGACTGTAGTTGAATCTAATTAACTCGATAAAATAACATGGTAGGTACTGGTTTAAATTGTATTATTCATGTGTAAAGTGTTGACGTTAGCCTTAAAGATTTATTATCTAAAATATTTTTATACGATATTAAAACATTTAGTGTTAAAATAACAAGGTTTTTAAAAAGACCAATGCCATCTTTTGTTTTGTTATCTATACTAATATTGTAAATGTGAAAGTTTATGTGTTTGTTACTCAATACGCCAGAACAGCTGAACGGATCTGGATGAAATTTGGCACAGGGATAGATTATACTTTGGAATTTATCCTGGAAAAATGTAGATACGGTTCCCGTCGGACAGATTTGTTTTTTTATTTCTAGAGGCAAATCCAAACGAAGCTGGTCTTATATAATATAATGATCCGCGACTAAGATTATATTGGCAGATAGGTGACTTTTTCTTGCTATTTTATCGTAATTAATTTAGTTTAAATGTACTTAAAATTTAAAAGAAGCTTCAATGACCAAAATAATAGCACAATTGGTTATGAGAAACTTCATAATTATAATATACAATAATAATAATTATTTAACATATTAATAATAATTCACTCGAAAATTTGCACTAATTTTTTATCATAAAATAATATTTAAATAGGTAGTAGTCATTATCATCTGAGAAAACATAAAGTAAGATCATTATAACTTCAATAAACGCCTCATAAATCACAATTATAATATTATCAAAACAATGAAAACAGCAAACAGTTATTCTTACAGAATTCAAAAAGAAATAATCTATATTAATATTATAAAGAGGTAAAGACAGCGTAGGTCTAATTTTTATATTTAAGTCACAAAAAGTAGTTTTTTATATTAAAAAAATAATTTAAATCGGTAAGTTTATAATAAGTAGGTACTAAACAGCATGAAATAACTGTATGATTTACAAATAGCAAAGCTCATATAGGATCATAAATCATAATAGTTCGTTAATTCAATTGAATAATCAACATCCAAGGTTAAATTACATGTTCTACAGCATCAGGTCAAATATATCGAGTATTGATTGATATATATTTCAAGAATTATACTTGTGTTCTCAGCCACATAAATAATATTTAAACTGAATTAGTAGTCTTATTACGCTTTATTATCTTTTCTAATGGGAACCGGAATGAGAATTAAATATAATAAACTAACATTGCCCGCGGCTCCGCCCGCGTTCAGATGACCAAAAACCAAATTATTAGGTTTTACATATTAGTATACTCTTACATTACAGTTTTTGTATTTTTTCTCAGACATGAGATATATTCCCGCGGTAAAAAGTAGGTATCCTATATATTGACCTGGATAACCAGCATCATCATACCAAATTTCATCAAAATCCCTCCAGTGGTTTTTTTCCGGTAACAGACAGACAGACAAAAATTCTAAAATCTTTAGATTCGGCCTCTGTATCGATAATAATGTCTATTTCAATAAGATTTTAAAAAAAATATTTAATGTACAGATCCGGCTTAGTATAGATTATAAGTACCCTCATACTATGCAATGGTAAAAAATTAAAAAAAAACTCTTGAATATTATACAATAAGTACCTACTGTATATTGGTACTCAATAATAATAATTGTAAGCAATTAAATATTATTTAACACGATTATATATTACACAAATTGAAATAGTTTTAACCTACGTTATTTTACGATTTCATACTACTACAGATAGATAGATTTAAATAAGTTTTTAAAATCTATTTAGTAGTTTTAAAAAAAAAACTTTTGCTGACTTTATTATTTCATTATATTTAAAAATAAATTGGCTAAATTTAAAATATATAAAAACTGTATGTCAAATCAAATAATAAATATAATGTACATACAAACGTACATATATATTAAATGCCTTATCATGTTACCATGGTACCTTTCAATATACGTAGTTGTTGATTTTATTTCTTTTTATTTATAATAAACATTCAATTTTTAAGGAAATACATTGTATGTCACTTACCAGCTGTATTTAAAAATAGGATTAAGATGAAACTTAAACCAAAAATTATTGCTTCCCTTTTACACATTATCACCATATAATCACCACTATAGTAAATAACTATACAGAAACTAATATTAATCCCAATTGGAATATTGCACTTAAAATAACGTTTATAAATTTATCCAGTAGAGTAATGAAATAAATTTAGTGTATTAAAAAACTGCAACACTACGTATTTATATACGTAACTTTTACAAACTTGTAAACAACCTCTCCCTACCGTTTTACAAGTTAAACTGTTTCTAAAAGAATGAATGGTTAGCGTAAAACCGCGAAAATTGTTTTCACGAAGTACGAATGAGGATGAATGGGTATATGATGCGTTCAGTTTAGTTTACGTAAATCTATGAATTCATTTAAACAATAAGAATCAGCTTTTATAATTAAATAAAATTGAGCCTAAAAATTTATTTACATTATCCTTATTGTTATATAGAATAAATAACTAGAAATATATAATATTATACAATCGCAAATATTTTGATTATCTGTTAAAATCATCTCTTTCTTTAAATTGTCATTGTCTGTGATACTCTGTCAAGTGTCATTCAAAAAATAGGTAAACAAAAATAACCTCAACTTTTTGGATCGTAAAATTAAAATTTGAATATTTATTATGAATAGAACAAGATAAAAAACAGTAATATATTATAAATTATTTTATAAAAATACACTAAACATGAATGTAAACAACATATTAAGAAATATTATTAAAGCTCGCTCTACTAATATTTTATTTCAAAGATGGAAAGGTTCTGAAAAACAAGTAACTACTTATGATCCATTTATGACAAAACCACAAAAAACTAGAGATACTTATCTAGAAGTAATAAAAATGTTCGAGGGGCAAGATACTAGACGTCGTGGTCATGTAGAATTTATTTATGCCGCCTTAAGTCGTATGTCAGAATTTGGTGTTCAAAAGGACCTAGAAGTTTATAAAGCTTTAGTAGATGTACTCCCGAAAGGAAAATTTATACCTACAAATATTTTTCAAGCTGAATTTATGCATTATCCTAAACAACAACAGTGTGCTGTAGATTTGTTAGAACAAATGGAAAATAATGGTAAGTTTTGTATTACTTTATATCAAATTCGCAATTGTGTTAATTTTACTAATAAAAATTGTAAATATTTTAGGGGTAATGCCAGATATAGAAATGGAACAGATGTTGTTAAACATTTTTGGTAGACGAGGCATACCTCTAAGAAAATATTGGAGGATGATGTATTGGATGCCAAAGTTTAAAAATCTCAGTCCTTGGCACTTGCCAGAGCAACTTCCCGGTGACACATTAGAACTGGCAAAACTGGCTATACAAAGAATTACATCAGTGGATCCGGACACTCAAATAAATGTTTGGCAGGTGATAGATTAATAATGATTAGTTCTCTTGTATGAATTTTGAAATAAATAATTATTTTCATCAATACAACCAATCTTCAATTAAATTTTTTAAATTTTTATAGTGATTTATTTATTTTTAGATAATATCTTAAACCTTTGAAAATATTTTTTTGTCAGACAGATGAAGTTGAGGCTTCCTTGGACAAAACATGGATAGTAAGTGCACAAAGCAGAATTCAGCAAGTATTATTATCAGAACAGCCTGTAGATGAGCCGCTGGTGATAAAAGGACCTTATAATGTATATTTAAGAGATAATGTGGTCACATACTTCACACTACTAGGAAAAACGAGACCTGAATATAAAGATGATACTGATACTGATGGTATGTTAGATATTTATTAACTTTCAAATTGAAATGATGCATTCATTTAATCATTATTATTAGTGAATTTGCATATAAGATTGTTATGCATAACAAGTTTACTTTACTTACTTGCACCTCTACGTACCCTTTGCATTTAAAACATACTCTCATTAATGGTTAAATACTTATTGAATGTAAAATTTTATCAATTAAAATAAACCTACCTAAATCAATATTATACAATATATCAAAACAGTTATGATACATATTTAAAAGTATATGTTATAATGATTAACCATCAAAAAATATATTTACTTGTTTTCAGATGTTTCTAAAATTGAAAAACCGCCAGGGATACCAGGTGTTATTGGCAAAGTGACACTGCCACAAGTCAAATGCACAGTCCATGAACAGGACGATGGAACTATTGTAGGAGTTTGTGCGACAGGTTTGTTGAATTGAATAAAACTTTAGAAAAGTAACCTATGAGAGAATGAGATGAACATATATAAAGTATCAGGAGTAGGATAATTGTAAGGTTTAGTTTCTTTTTACCAAGTTTAAAAGGTAATTTACATTTTGTTTGACATATATATTACATAACATATTATTCAGTATTATTTATCACTTCCTGTGTAATGTATTCTTTCTCGTTCTCTCGCTGGCTTAATCCTTAAAATTTGTGTTTGTCTCTTTCTCGTGTCGCATTTTCGTTTCATCGAGCAAATCACAATGATTCTAAAGAAGTTTCACTTCAATAAATTATTTCTTTTTTTAATTTAACATTTAAATTTATTGTCCTAACAGGAACTTCATCAAGAGATTCATTACTATCATGGATAAGACTGTTAGAAAAACATAATAATCCACTATTAGCAAATATACCTGTAATATTTACTCTACTTGCTCCGCCATCAGATGTGTCATTATATGAAAATGAGGTCACAACTCAAGAAGAAAATGTTAATTCAACAACATGAGTATTCTTTATTGATAATGTGTGTAGTGTTAATAACATGTAGATATGTATATTTATTAATAAAATAACTGTTGTATAAAAATCTTTTATTTACATTATTACAACATATAATATGCATAGAAAACAAGCATAAACCTATTATTCACATTAATGGGATATGTACAGTGTAATGAAGGCTATATCTTGGATTTAAATTTATAATTAATATGCAACAATATAACAAAGTTTTTTTTAAGTTTAAATTTACTACAATTTTATTACCTATATTGAACATTTCTTTTAAAACATCTGGAACCACTGCAGTTTATCATACCATCTCTGAATATGTTATATCTGAAATAGTCCAACACTAGATAAAAAACCAACATGATGTTAAGTCCAATCATAATCCTCATCAATCTCGAAGGATATTGTCCCCCACTGTCAGGTAATATTGTGCCAATCTGCCTGCGGTAGCAAATAAGTTTCATTGTCACTTCTGACCACAGTGACCCCAGCTCCGTAATATGGTATTACAAATGCAGAACCATCTGAAGGTCCTACAACCTAAAATAATAACAATATTGTATATTTGTATCTGCATGTATATCTTTATATGATATATATGTATATATCTTATAAAATAAATACCTCAAAGCTAATACATATAGTCATTTTAATAATATTTATCTTAACACTATCTCCTTGAGAGATGAAAAGATATAAGTCACTTATATCCTCAGATATAGTGCAGAATTATATTAATTTTTTTCATAATATAGCAATTTAAAAAGCAACTCATAGCAAAATAAAATATATTTATTATTTTAATAATATAAAACATTTTCCCAACACATTATAGAGAAAACGGATATTTTTTTCCAGAAATATAAAATATTACATTACCTGTGCTGCTATAAGTATGATATCTAATAATTGTCCAAGGAACATAAAGCCAAGAGTACACAACTTTGCTAATCCAATCCCTGGATAACCTAGGTAGAATCTATCCAATCCAAACATACCAAGGAACACTGACAGCAATAATGCAACTTCCAATGAATATCCATTTCTGTAATATTAAAATAAATCAATTATTTATTAACATTATACTGGTATGACAGATTCTTAAGTACTTATGTTTATAAAAACAATATATTTTCAAATTTGTAATAAAAAAAATTAAAAACATTTTGTTATTAGTAACTTACGTCCATTTACAGGGCATTTTCCTTGTAAATGTAGAATTTTTAGTGTCATTACAAATTATTCCTTCTGCAGCTATACATAGAACTGTTAAGAATAAAAAAAATTGAGATAGTTAATTACCACAAAAACAACATAGTGCAAGCTTCTATAGCATGGTATTTCATTTGTCAACATACATAATACATATTTTTATATATTTAGATAAACACTCATTAATATGGCAGGCCTATGACATTGCTATCTGTATCAATTATTAATATAAATCAAACTTGAATGTCTTCTAAAGTAAAACTTCCATATTATGACAAATAAAATACATAATTTTAAAAGTGAAATATAAAAATATTTTACCATCAGCTTCTCCTTCTGATGGAATATCCTTTCCTTTAGTACAACCAAAAAACTGCTGAGTGACTGGGTTAATTTGGTTTTTACTAGGATCTGGACAAATATATTGGCCTAAGCGTAATGTGCTACAATCTACAACTACATTTTTGTCGCCTTTAGCTTCATCAGAAGCATTCCCTTTAGCACAAAACAAGAGTATTGTGATGCACAAGAACCACATCATGGTAAATATTTATGAATTAACTTAAATTAACTGCAAGTATAAGCACTCATCGTCGTTATTACTTTCAGTACATTATAGATATAAAACGTGATACAAATGCGACAACAACTTTGTAATCACTACTAAGTAAAATAATGTTCAATGTTCATAATTCATGTTTCACTACATTAACCATGGATGACAAATAAAAACATTAACGATTGAGATTTGTCATTTGAGTCATTGTCAATTGTCGTATTGACAAATTAAATGACGTTGATAGAAAGAATGATATACATTAAGTTATCTGTGGTTACTATAAAAAAAATAGTTTTGAGGTTTCTCAAGTCATTCATTAATTTAGATTTATTGTCAACTAGCATTGCCCGCGGCTCCGCCCGCGTTCAGATGACCAAAAACCTAATTCTTAGGTTTTACATATTAGTACACTCTTACAATGCAGTTTTTGTGTTTTTGTATTTTTTCTCAGAAATGAGACATTTTCCTGCGGTAAAAAGTAGCCTATATGTTGACCCGGATAACCAGCTATCATCATACTAAATTTCATCAAAATCTGTTCAGTGGTTTTCTCGTGATGCGGTAACAGACAGACAGACAGACAGACAGACAGACAAAAATTCTAAAAACTATAGATTCGGACTCAAATTTCAATGGTAAAAAGAAAAAAAAATATGTATAGTAGGATGAAACCCATTGGAAAAGAAAGAGAATATAACAAAAATTAAAGAAAAAATAATTTACGGGTGATCTGAGGTCGGGAAGTGGGAGGTGGTGAGTTTTTAAGTGTAAAAAACGGTTTATCTCGATTTCCGGCACAACTACAAGTCCTATGGAAAAAGTTAAGTGGCAAAGTTGTAGGTAATAAAAAGATCTACAACTTTTGTATTTACACTTTTTTCACATAACCTTAAAATTTATGTGAAAAATTCAAATAAAAGTTTTTGGTTTTTTATTTTCATCTTTTACAAAAAAAAACTTCTCACGAAATTTGGTGAAAACGTACCTTTTTTTGTCCCAAACATACTGTAATTTTTTTGATTTAAAATATTAATTTTTACCTTATTTTGACTAAATATCGAAAAAGCACCCTGATTTACAATCGAAAATTCTCGTGTCAAAATATCAGCCAGTTTATAACTACACTCTTTAGGCTCTGCTCATTTTTGAAAATACAATTAATAGAGTTAATATTTAATAAGACATCTAGAATATTTTGAGAAAGTTGCAGAATCTTCTTTAAATTATGTGCCTATTTATTGCTATTTTTAAGATAACTTATATATCTGAGTGACCTATGGAAAATTTTAGCCCATCAAAAGATATTTCATAGAGAAGTGGGGAAAGGCTAGCAGGATCTGGCCTATACTTTTTGTATTTTCTGAGCAAGTTTAACATAGTCATTTTTCAAATTAAACCATGACCATATAAGTAGATACATAATAGGTAACAATTGGATATTTAATTGGATTGGATGGAGTACCTAATACAGTATCTACCAGTAATAAGTCACCACTTGTTATACAGATTACATAATTATACAGAAAAACATATATGTTGAGTGTAAACCTAATATAATAATATTGTCGGCCATTAATTATAACACTACGTTCTAGTTACTACTACATATTGAAATGATTGAAACGTGCGTTGTAATGTAAAAATACGTCCGATACTCGTATGAATTGCTGGTGCTTGAATTGATTGAGGACACTCATAGCTTTTAGTGAACTTTGGTCCTCACAATTGTTTCGAGATTTAATTGACTTTTATGTTTTTACTTTTAATATTTAAATTAAAATATAAAATAAAATGTCGACTAATAAGAAAAAAGTTAATTTTTAACCGACTTCCGAAAAGGAGGAGGTTCTATGTTCGTATGTATGTATTTTTTTACTCATCTTCATTAATTTTGGTTTTATTTAAAAATCCTTATTTAATAATTTAAGAATTTCGATATAGATAATTTTGTATATTCATTCTAGTTATTTAATTTATATTATTATTAATACCTATTTCTAGATAGTTAATCTATAAAAGTACGTAAGTGATGTTAAAATTAAAAGTTATATTTTGCTGATTCCGCCCTCGTTAGTGAAGCGAATAGTAAACTTTTTAAGAACATTAAAAAACTTGGCTGTAACACTCATACTTTAAGATAGCTCACAAACATATAAGATCTTCAACACATTCGACACGACTAACGAAGTAACTTCACTGCGAGTTTCAATGACTTCACTATATAAAACCGAACAAAAATTAATGTTAAATGAGTCAGCTATTTTTAGAGTAGTTTATTTGAACGAAAAATTATCTTATATTTTAAAATGCTAAGTTAAAATCTTATAATATAGAATTCGCAGGCATATGAGCATTTTCTTACATCCAAAACTAATAAATTTTAATGTATGGAGTTCTTCGAAAGGAGGACTTCGAAAATATTTGATTAGGTATTTATAGTAAATGAAAACTACCAATCAGTTATTTTTTACTTTTTAGTGCTTTTGTTTGAAGTCGGTTTTTTTTTATTTATTATTAAGCACACTTACAATACACATGTTAAACAATTCAATACAATAATTAAAGTGAAAAAAAAGAATCAGACATGCATATCAATAACAAGTGTACATAGTACATTTATGTGTACATTTATAATTTTTAAACATTTATAATATTATGAAATTATTTAGTAATTGATGAAAAATACAAAATTAACAAAAATTAGAAACAACATAATTTAAAATATAAAATAAAGTAAAGATAAAAATAATAATAATTTGATTTTAGATAATAAGTAATCAATAGTTTTATAAAAATTATTATATCTATATTTAAATTACAGTTTGGATAAATAATATTCTAATAGTTTGTACTTAAATTTATTGTAGGTATCATGAAAAATATCTAATTCTGGTAAGGCCTTAGAAATAATATTGTATTGCGAACACATACGGACGATGGGAGATTGAGAACCAAGGTTAGTTTTGACACAGGGGATATGGAAAGTATTGTATTTGCATGTGTATTTTTTTGTTAAAAAGTTTTCAACTTCATCTATTTAAAAACTAGTTTAAAGTGGTACATAAAACAATAGAATTAGATGCTAAACAATTTAATTAATCAATTATTTATTATATTTGACACATAATTATTCCACTGAAATCCACAATTATCTGATATTACTATTTTATCAAACTAACTATTTTATCAAAGTCCTTTAGTGCTTGTTTCTTGCAGCACGTTCTTTATAAAACAATCATCAGCCGCGCCAACCAGTGAAAGATGGAGACCTGTGAAATACACAGTTTACTTATAAACACTTTTTTCTTTTATTGGGATTATCTATTCATTAAAATTAACTTTTTATTCTACCGCGTATAAAAAAGGGAAATATATAATAGTTTATAGCTATATTATCTAAACACGTTCCTGCTGTGTCTCTTTTTTTGTTATATATTTCACTTCCTCATTTATGTCTTGTGTGGTTTTCAGTTATAATATATAGTGTTCATTACTGTTATTATTATTACATTATGAAAGACTAATAATATTCAATGGGGACCGGGGACGAATTGTGTACTATTGTCCCTCTAGTGTTTTATTCCCGCAGATAGTGGGATCAAAACATTCATTTGTAAACACATAATATTTAGAAAAATGAAAAAAAAATGTGGATCCCAACCAGTTATCAATAATATAGTACACGGTCAGAATAATGAGAAAGGTAAAAAATTATTCAAGTCCAACCATGTTTATGGTATAGTAGAAAAAAATAATAAAAGTGAAACTGTCTAACCGCAAAAGTCGTACCACAAACGAGTGTGTCAAATGTTTATAATGTGAAAGTTGTGGTATGTATAAGAAATACTTAGTGTAATTAAATGTGTAAATAATAGATTATCCCCTACAACGTCACAATCTCACAAACTAACAAACTTTACCCATTTATAATATTAGTATAGATAAGGTATGCTCACGTGTTGAAGGCGGGCGCGGCGGGCGGCGGCGCGCCGGACTGCTGCGCGAGGTTGCCGAACGTCAGCGTGTTCTGTGTCGCGAGCGTCTCGAACGTAGAGCTAGACTGGGTCGGGGAGCCGAAATCTGTAGGATTTTGTGGGTACTTTAATAAGTTTTCAGCTCGGTATTCGTATGTATTCAGCCCTTTTTAACGTCCCACTGCTGGGCGCGGGCCTCCCTTCAATACGAGGGGGATCAGGCCATAGTCCACGTTGGCCAAGTGCGGATTGGCGGACTACACATGTCTTTCGAAAACTTACTAAGTTCTCTCAGACATGCAGATTTTTCTCACGATGTTTTCCTTTACCGTAAAGCAAGTGGTTATCATGTTGTAAATGATTCGTACATAAAAATATAAGAGGTGCGACACCCGGGATTTGAACCCACTTCACTCGGTTTCCCAAGTAAGCGCGTTACCACTGGCCTACTACTGGCTTTTTCAGCTCGGTAAGTTAAGATTTTTTTTTACATTAGAAAACAAAAAAAGTGGTAAATATTCGTACAAACCGACAATAGCCGGACTAATAATATATTTTTTAGTAATCCGATTAATATCGGACAAATACCAATAGCCTCCTGTATTTATTATTCGTCTTATTTGAGTACGAATATTTTTTAAGCATCCTTATTTTAAGTACGAATAGCGACAGCCTTTTATAAAAAAATAAAAATTGACTAATATATAAGTTTAGTAGATCAAAAATACTTTATCTTAATTTGTAACTTTGTAGGTGAATTTGTTGATTTTGTTTTAGCGTTACAATTTGGTGATATTATTTTAGTGTCGGCGCATTATTAATATTATTTGGTAGGACCAATTTTTTTTTGGTTTTAATTTTATTATATTTTTAGTCTTAGTTTTTTTACATGATTTTTATACACTTTAGGCAATACAAGAAATCGTAGAAATATAAACTGTTATATCCCAAATAATATTCAATAACTTTCAATACAAACTTTTTTATTTTTATTTTCTAGTAACCACATCGTATGCGAGACTGGGGTGAAAAACTAGATTCCTCCTCATAACGGAGTCCACGTTTTTAGCTAATTTCGTTGAAATTTGTTCAGGGTCAAAAGATAACAAACAGACAAACGATTAGTTTCACATTTATAGTTATATAGTGTAGTGTATAAATAATATAAATCTATCCACTCACTAGGTGTACTGTTGCCAAACATTTTTCCAGGTGAAGTGTTACCGAAGGCAGAAGTACCGAAGCCGCCGGTTCCAAACGAAGCGGGCGCTCCAAAACCGCTGTTAGGGCTCTTGTTGAAACCACCGAAAGCCGGTTGTCCGAAACTAAGACGTAACACATTTTATAATATTAAATGAGCAATACTTGTATATAAATATATAAATTAATTTCGTGTATCTCGGATACGGCTCTAACGATTTGGACCAAATGTTGTATTTGGCTAAGGTTTTGCTTTTTAAGTTTATCTATTTAGTAGATGTTTTTTTCTAAAAAAAAAAACACAATTTTTATATCTTTTCCGAATAAAAATCATAATTTTGTACCTTATAAGTATGTTATATTGTTTTTTTTTGCACCAACCCCTATCCATTCTACCCTAAGAGTTCCTTTATAAGTTTATGGGTTGCCTGGAAGAGATTACTTTTAAGTGATAAGGCCGCCTTTACACTGAAATATTTTGTAGTGCTGTATTGTTTTAAAATTGTACTTCTTTTATGGTATAATAAATAAATAATTTTATAAAAAAGAAAAAAACTCTGAGTGAAGCTCCGTCATTGATGTACTTATATTAATATTTACCTATATCATTATAATCAGTACTTATATTACCCATCATAGCATCGTTCGGGTGCTTCCCTAGTGCCTAACAGCGTATGTGTTACTCTAAAATCTAAATCATATCTAAACATTTATCTGTATACTAAATTTCATCCAAATTCATACAGAACGTTCTAGCGAGTAGTTGTAATAAACATACATAAGGACAATAGAAACTTTCGCATGTAATAGTCCAATATTGAATTCATAATACCATAAAAAAATCTGAAGATAATAATTGAGTTACATATATCATAACTTCTCTGTAATCTAAAGTTTGATTATAATTATGTAATATTTGACGACACGTTTGGCTCAGTTTGTAGTGACCCTACTTGCTGTTCGAGCAATCGTAGGTTCGAGTCCCGCTGGGGGCATTCATTTGTGTGAGTGATCACGAATGTTTGTACTCCAGTCATGGGTGTTTATATTTATAATATATATGTATGTATTTAAAGTTATGTATGTGTAGTGTATAAACTATCTGGTACCCATAACACAGGCCTCGTACCTTACCATGGGACTAGATGGTGCTATGTGTTAATAATTAGTAACCCAACATATTTATTTATATTTCATTAATTGATTTGTGAAACTATGCGTTGATAAAGACAGATACATTATTAATAGTGTGAGGGTAAATCAATATTCATGTTACAATAATTGGGGTAAACATGTAAATGTAAGAAACGTTTAATTTACCATACAAAAGGTATCGAAAAATATCTTACCCCGGTGACCCGCCAAATACAGGCTTAGATCCAAACACAGGCGACCCTCCGAAGCCAGGTGCTGTGAATAAAGTATTGATATTACACAAAAGAAATATTAAAAAAAATTTTTTTTTGAAGTTATATTTTTTTTGGCAGATTGGAAAAACATACGAGAGATTTTTTTTCGATGCGCGACATGTTGAAGTTAGCTGAAAGGGACACGATGAAGTTAGCTGCATTCCTTTTACAAACAGAGAGTTGTGACATACGTGGTGAAATCTTTAGCTATTTTTGTTCTGTTACGCCAAAGAAGTATAACATCTTACGTGCGTACATTACACACAAACACGTTATTTTTTATAAGTTTCATCAATACAATTTACCTTGTGCTAATATTTATATAATACATAGGTATTAGGTATACTGTTACTTATATACATTTTGCTATATTAAAAAAATAGTTTATTGTATTTTTAACCAACCTTAAATAAGAGGAGGTATTCACTTCATATTTTTTTCAATAATAACAAGAATATTTTTGCCAATTGCACACCCTTTTACGATTTTTTAAATTAATACCTTAAAACTGAACTTGGGTGGAATAATTACATTTAAAGTATTTCATAAATTAGTCAGCCTTTGTAGTTAAAAAAAAACAACTATTGTGTCACAAAGTATACAGAGTATATGTAAATCTATTTTATTATATGGTTTGGAACTTTTTATTTTATTATTATTTTGAAGTTATAATAACTAATAATATTCCATATATCCATTCTAATATTATAAACGTGAAAGTGTGTTTGTTTGTTTGTTTGTTTGTTTGTTTGTCCTTATTTCACGTCGTAACAGAGTGACGGATTGGAGTGATTTTTTGTGTGGTGACAATTGGAGGGCACATTCCTTCGAGAAAATACGTCATTATACAACCCAAAAAATATTTACGATCAGAATTATATGAAGCTTGGTATTAATGCTCTTCAATACAATCAAATAAATACGTGTTTTATCATTTTCTGAATTATTGATTAAGTATTGATTCCATAAAGAGGTAAAATAGGGGATAAAAGTTTTTAGGAAACCTACCTTTTTAGTTTAGTATAATTTTGACTATCTAGATAATTATATACAAACCGGATTGTTGTTGCGGAGATCCAAATACTGATGGTTTGTTTTCACCACTGAACGGTTGCGGACTACCGAACGGTTGCGCGTTGGGCGTACTGAAACTGCCGCCTGACGTGCCAAACATGGATGACGATTGCGTGGTTGCTTGTTGACCTGAGGAAAAAAATATAACAAACAAAAATTAAACAAAAAACATCTTTAGGATTAAAATAATCATTTGACTTAGGTATATACTACAGACATATATTCAATTTTCAAAAATTTAATTAAGTAATTCCATACTCAAGAAAGACATAAACCTAATAAAAAAAAGTTTTTTTTTTAATTAAAAAAAGAATCTCAAGAGCGATTAAAAAGAGTTCATATGAAGAGTCTTCTTATTTTTAGTAAATTAAGACTTAAATTCATAAATTATGCAATTAAGCTTTTAAGGTGAAATAGTGACTTTTATCATAAATAACTTCACGTATAAATACAATTATTATTATAAAAACATATTGCCAATGTTTCAAAAGTCTTACCAAAACCAGTCGATCCAAAACCACTATTGCTGTTACCACCACTCCAAAAATCGGTAGCAGGTTTTTGGCCGAAGGTAGTTGCTCCTCCACCGCCAAATATATTAGATGCAGTTGGATTCGAACCCGTGAAACTAGCCTTCCCACCAAATACGTTTGTATTGCTGCTACCAAACACTGATCCGGATGAACTGTGCACATATAAAGCTTTTTTTATTAATTTGTCATGCTTATATTAATATTAATAATTTTATCAACAACATGCACTTTTAGACCAGGGTAGAAGCCTTTAAAAATAATAAAAAGTGAAAAAAAAATAATAGTAGGATGCAACCCATTAGAAAAGGAGGGGAATATTATAAAAATGAAAGGAAAAATAATTTACGGGCGATCTGAGGTCGGGAAGGGGGTGGGGGGGAGCTTTTAAGGGTAAAAAACGGTTTTTCTCGATTTCCGGCAAAACTAAAAGTCCTATCGAAAAAAATCACAAAGCAAAGTTGTAGGTAATAAAAAGATCTAAAACTTTTGTATTTACACTTTTTTCACATAACCTCAAAATTTATGTGAAAAATTCAAAAAACCAAGTTTTTGGTTTTTTATTTTTATCTTTTACAAAAATGTTTTTGTTTTAACGAAATTTGGTGAAAACTTACCTTTTTATGTCCCAAATACGCTGTAATTTATTTGATTAAAAATATTTATTTTTTCACCTTATTTTGAATTAATATCGAAAAAACACCCTAATTTTCAATCGAAAATTCACCCGTCAAAATATCAGCTTTTTTCAAAAAGTTGGTATGTTTTCTGTTCGTTGAAATGTCTACTTTACGATTGTGAAAAAAATATATGTTACTATAGTAAATCTTTTGAGAAAATGCAAAAAACAAAAAACCTTTTTTATTTCATACACTTGCTTATCGTCTGCCTTATTGCAGATGATACAAACAGATTCATCCATACTGATAATCTGAAAAGACAAAATCGAATTAATAATGCCTTCACTATTTTATCGTGAGTATACCCGCATGAAAAAAAATATTCAAGAAATAAATGTCAAAATGTATAAAAGTTTTAGATCTTTTTATTACCTACAACTTTGCTATTTGATTTTTTTCGATAGGACTTTTAGTTTTGCCGGAAATCGAGAAAAACCGTTTTTTACCCTTTAAAGCTCCCCCCCACCCCCTTCCCGACCTCAGATCGCCCGTAAATTATTTTTCCTTTCATTTTTATAATATTCCCCTCCTTTTCTAATGGGTTGCATCCTACTATTATTTTTTTTGGTTTCAAAAATTATCGACTCTGGTCTATTATACTATAATACGATAAATAATTTGAATCTATTTAAAAATAATTATTCTTCTGTTTAAAAGATTTTCTAATTTTTATGAAAAAAAAAACAATTCTAAGTATTTCACTTTTAAGGATAGACGACATTTTGGAAATTTATAATATAATATGGGACCACCTCAGGTTACAGAGACATATTGAAAAAAAAAATCATGAAAATTGCTTCTTGATCGGCGAAGTTATTCACTGACATAACATACAAATAAATAAAAAAGAACGTGTGTTTGTTATGTACGGCACGTAAGAAGTTATACTTCTTTGGCGTAACAGAACAAAAATAGCTAAAGATTTCATCCCGTATGTCACAACTCTCTGTTTATAAAAGGAATGCAGCTAACTTAATCATGTCGCTTTTTGGCTGTCGGTGTGCGCGCACATCTTAAAAATTTCACTCTCATAATTTTTTCAAAACGTGCTAAAAGAAGTATAACTTCAAAAATCTATAGACTTGAATTTAGCACCTCCTCTTTTTGAAATCGTTCAAGGATACGATAACAATTTCTATGGAAGTGGAAGGTATCCAGCAAAGTTAAATTACTTAATTATAATGATTTATTGTATTGATTTTGTTTTACTTCAGAAAGTAATTGAAAAAAAAAGATTTATTTAAAATTAAATAATAATAAAATAATAATAATAAACGAATTATTCCAAATATGTGGAAAAAATTACCTTCCAAAAATACTTCCTCCACTGGCTTGAGTCGGAGCACTCGTTGTGGAGATACTTGCAGATGCGAATAAATCTGTTTCGCCACCACCAAATAATGAACCACTTTGTACAGTCGTTGTTGGCGTCCCGAAAACAGACGCTTGAGTTGTTTGAGTTGGCGTCCCGAAAATAGACGCTTGAGTTGTTTGAGTTGGCGTCCCGAAAATAGACGCTTGAGTTGTTTGAGTTGGCGTCCCGAAAACGGATGCTTGAGTCGATTGTGTTGGCGTCCCGAAAACGGATGCTTGAGTCGTTTGTGTTGGCGTCCCGAAAACGGATGCTTGAGTCGATTGTGTTGGCGTCCCGAAAACGGATGCTTGAGTCGTTTGAGTTTGCGTCCCGAAAACGGATGCTTGAGTCGTTTGAGTTGGCGTCCCGAAAACGGATGCTTGAGTCGTTTGAGTTTGCGTCCCGAAAACGGATGCTTGAGTCGTTTGAGTTGGCGTCCCGAAAACGGATGCTTGAGTCGTTTGAGTTTGAGCTCCAAACACAGATGCTGGACTAATTTGAGTTGGGCTTCCGAAAACTGAGGCTTTAGTTGTAGAAGTTACATTCCCAATAAGAGTTGGTGGATACGATTGAAAATCGACAGTGTGAACAACAAATGATTCTTGAGACGTTTGTGTTCCGAAAACTGACGCTTGAGTTGTTTGTGTTTGGTTTCCAAACACAGATGCTTGAGTTGTGGTTGTATTTCCGAAAATAGAACCCTGTGTTGAAGTTCCAAAAACTTGACTAGGCGTAGATTGTGAAGTTCCAAAAACGGGATTCGATCCGAAAACGGAACTCTGCGTAGTAGTTGTTGAAGTTCCAAACGCACTTTTAGTACTCGCAAACATTGATTTGGAAGCGGCAGCAGAAAACAAACTTTGAGCTGATGATGTTCCAAAAACAGATGTAGTTGTCGCTTGAGGGGTTTGGGTTCCGAAGATTGATCCTTGCGTTGTTTGAGTTTCAAAGGTTGATGAGAATATTGATGAATTAGGGGAAAGCGCAGGTTGAGAGGCACTAGAGGCTGGTGTGGGAGCAGTAAATTCTGTTGGTTTTGGTTCTACACTAGTGGGTGCAGAAGTTGATGTAGATGTGACAGGTGGAGTTTTCGTTGCACTTAAGTTTTCAGCCTGAGAATCAATTTTTTTATCTTTTGCAGATTCAGATTCTTTGGGTTTAGGTATTGTTATTGTTACACTTGTGGTATTCTTCTCTTCTGGCACAGGACTTTCTGGTGCAGAAGTAGTATTAGTTTTGTTGTCTGTTGTTGTAGTGATCTCTGTTGTTTTAGTTGAATCGGTTGGTGATGAAATCGTAAGGAATCCTTGTTGTGGTTTAGAAACTAGAAATAAGAAAGTAAAAATATTTTAGCTTCCATTGGAAAAAAAAAAAGTTGTTGGTTCCTTGTTGATTTGTTTTTTTTTATTTTTTTAATATCGATCCGTGGTATTATATTTTAAAGACTTAAGAAATCTTTTTGTATATTTTTTATAATAATCAAATATTTGTTTTTTACCTGTAGGTGGTGGTGAAGGCGGAGTAGTACCGAATATAGACGAAGGTACTTTTTCTATTTTGGCTTCAGCTGCAGGTTTTTTAAGGTCAACTGTAGAACAATAGAAAAAAACATTTTTTTTACTAATGTATTATAAAAAATATACGTTTAACAATATAAAAGAAAAAAACATTTTATACTTTCACGTTTACAACTAAAAGTGAGATATATAGATAAACAAACTGGCATAAGATTTTGCTCTAATATTTAAATAATATATTTAAAATATGTGTAAGAAATAGAAAAACAAGTACAGGAGTTGAATGCACATTATATTTTACGTCAGCCATAATATTTGCGACCTATATAAATAAAAATGAATCACCGAAATGTATGTACGCGCATAACTTCCGATCGACTGTACCAAATTATTGTATAGAAGAAAATTAAAAGATTTTTTTTAATAAAATAAGATTTTTTTTAAATCTCATGATATGAAAAGTGAGTGAGTCAAATATTTTTTATCCCGGAAATCATCCCTTAAGGGGGTGAGAAAGGGGATGACAGTTTGTATGAACCCGAGCGAACGAGGTTGAGGATCGCTAGTTAAAGATATAATATGGATCATTATTAAAATATTACCTATAATAACTGATTGAGCGGGCGCTTTACTTGTCATTGGCGCAACGGATGGCTTCAAATCCTCTTTCTTATCCACCGCTTTTTGATTATCTCCATCTTTATCTGGAACATTATCTTTTGACTTCTCTACGTTTTCTTCAGCTTTAGGTTTAACAAAACCTTTGTTATCAGTTTTACCGAATATAAATCCTTGACCACCTTTTATGACGTCTGGAACATTCTGATTCTTACTAACCAAAGGCGTAGATGTTTTTAGACTGAACATATTTGTTATTGGTTTTTCTTTGGGACCGGTAGTTTCTGATTCGCCTGTTTCATCATTCGCCGGTTTAGAGGTTCCAGTAGTAGCAGGCTCTTCGGTTTGGAATTTACTAAACATATTAGCCATGTCCGTTATGGGCTTTGAAGCAAACACTGCAGATGGCGCTGCTGTTGCTTGAGGTTTAGCAACTGAAATGTTTTATTTTTCAATGTAAAATGTACAATTTACTCGACTTTTTTGAAGAATATATTTATGCTAATAATTTCAAAATGTTGTGGTTTTTTATCCAGCTAGCTGGATTTCTAGCTAAGTTTAGTAATGAAATTTTAAATATTATCATTGAACCTAACTTTAAGTAACTTTTCCATAATTACAAACTTTATTTTATTTATTCTATTCCATAAATTCACTCTACTATATATAGCTTAAACTTTATTTAAAAAAATAATACAATTTAAAATAATACAAAAATATGCAAAAATGTATTTCAGTGTAAGGGCAGCCTTATCACTTAAAGCGATCTCTTCTAGGTAACCTATATCAGAAAGAAATTCGTAGTGTTGCATGGATAGTGGTCGGTGTAAAAAAACAGTCTATAGACTACAACTACTTAAAAGGTATATACTATAAATTACACACACGTTTACATAATAAATAAATACATGTGCTGGGACATTAACACACAGCATTATCTTGTTCCATGGTAAGCTACGAGGCTTGTGTCATTGATACCAGACAGTTGATAAACTACACATATATAACTTTAAATACATACATATTATAAATATAAACATCCACGATTGGAGTACAAACATTCGTGCTTATCATACAAATGAATGCCCCCAGCGGGACACGAACTTGCGACCGCTCGAACAGCAAGTAGGGTCACTACAAACTGAGCCAAACGTGTCGTCAAATAATAAATAACAATAAACTACAACTTACTTCCAAATGCTGTCGGTGAACAAATATTTTGTCCCATGAAAGTATTCGAGTCATTCTTATTCTCATTATTCTGTGATGCATTTTCATTTGAGTCTCTCAGAATGTATTGTCTTAACAAACTCTTTGTATTCTGACTGGCATTCATTTTCTGTTCAGAAGATGGTTGTTGCAAAGCTGGAACTGGTTTTAGAGTGGCTTCTACTTGCTTTTCTTGTTTCGGTTCTATGAAAACATTGTGTAATATAAATTTTCAATTTTTTCTATACACAAAAAATATATAACAATTATTAAATGTAGAGCGAAAGAGAAGGAGAAAATAATAGATATATTTTTTAAATTGTCATATGTAAAATTATCAAAAATAAGAACAGTGCAATTAAAATAATAAGAGGCAAAAATAGTAACAAAAACCTTTTTCACTGGAGCCATTATATTTGCTTATTAGGATGAATTTATTTTAATTTAAATCAATTTAGTTCCAAAAATATATCTAATAAAGATGTATAAATATAAAACCTTGGAAACAAATATGGTGTATCAATATTGTTGTGCAAAGTAAAGGATCATTTAAATTATACCTCCATAAAACTAAACTATACTTTATATTTTTATATATTCTTTAAATATTCAATAAAAAAAATACCATCAGAAAACAACGTTCTAGCGACTGGAACTGCTGGTTTAAAATTATACGACGGTGTTTTTATTGGAGATTCTTTCACTACGTCTGATTTAGCTTCAGGTACAGCTGATTGTGTAACTGTAACATTAAGTTTTATAGTAATATATTTCGAGTTTGCAATATAAATTATTACTAGTTTTACATTAATAATAAATCTATACTAATAGTAGGGGAGCCCAAGAGGGGATTTTCTGTAGTTACTCGAGCGCGGCAGATTAATATACAGGGGGATACCTTGTACCCGGTTAAGTACCTCCACAAAACATGAGGCCCATATATAAGGCCGCCCGTGAAGGATACAGGATCAGATTAGTAAAAAAAAATTGACCACCAGAAATTCTCGAGCGCGTTAGATTAAGGTAGGGTGAGTTAATTACATCCTAAAAAGTGTATATTCCACTAATCTGACAATTTGAGAGTGATGTATAAAAAGGGGAGGGCAACAAAGTTGTAAAAAAAAACGTCATCTCGACATTCTCGAGCGTAGCTAAATTTTTTTTATTTTGAAGGAAATAATGCAAGAATAATGAAAAATATATAATCTGACGATTTCCGCAAGCCGAAATAACAAAAATTCGTCGAAAAAGTTAAATGCAGTGCAGCTGCGTGATGCCTACATTTCCTTCTCCGCGTGTCTATTCCTCTCTCACTCTTTCTCTATCTGTTACTCTCTCACTCCGTCCCCACTCTGGTTTCTGCCGCCATGACGCCATCACAGCTGATCATAAAGACTCGTTCGTGGCATACTGTTTACAACGTGTTTCCAACGTTTTGGCTTTTTTTGCTATTTTAATATTATTTGTGTGAAGTATGATGTTGTCACTAAGTCTGTATGTATGTATGTGTGTGTATGTGTGACTCGCTTATATCTTTTCAACGACTAAACCGATCGGAATCTACTAAACAGTGTTCTAAAGATTTCCCTCAAAATTAGATTTCCTGTGAATTTGAACCGATTCGGACCGATAGATTTTGAGAAATTTTGAAAAATCTCAAAAAAAATAAGAAACATTTTTTTTGAAAGTGGTTTTTTTGGAATAACTTTTAACCGGCTTTATCAATTAACTTCAAAAACTAATCCCCCCTTAAGCTAGAAAAACCACGCCGATCGTTGCTAATCCGGTCAAAATCGGTTGATTCGTTCGAGAGATATCGTGAACGAAAGAAAACCGAAAAAAGTGTTTTTTCGGGATTACTCCGAAATTTTTGGTTAGATCAATTAAAACCTGAAAATAACTTATGAGGATGATAAAACTGCGTCGAATGCCGTCAACCGCGTGAAAATTGCTTGATTTATTCAAAAGTTATTGCGGTTTGAAAATTCCAAAAATAGTGTTCTATGAAACTTCTATCAGACTTTCGAGCTGGGAGAGCTCAAATGCATAGAAATATTATTTCTTTGAACTCTGCGAGCTCAAAATATCACATAAATTATATTTTGAGCTCAAAAATGCCATAAGTACAATTTTAAGCGCACATCAATGGAATTAGCGGGAAGTTGCAGGTATGGCCTTTAAGGTGAACCGTTTTTCTAATTTTTTTTTGTCAGATCAGGCGAATCCCTCTAGATAATCGTCAGATTATGAGACAGTACGTTAAGAACATAAAGATGAACCATATATATCTTAATCTGACGCGCTTGAGTATTTCAAAATGGCGATTTTTTTTTGCACATTATGAAAATGGCCGCGAGTTTGCGTCCCATCGAAATCGTCAGATTAGTGAATGAGAGCTTTTTTTTGGTGCACTTAACACTCCCTTAGAAAATCTGACGCGCTCGATTAAATTTTTTTTTTTCATTTTCAACCCTTAAATACAACCACCCGCATCATGCAAACGATCAGATTAACATACGTACATTATTAAAAATACGTAGGGCATTTATGCTATCAATATCTGACGCGCTCGAGGATGTCTATGCAACAGTTTTTTTTTACATATTTAAAAATCTATAGCCGCTTCCCCCACCGATGTAAAGGTATACAACATATAACATTTTTTTCTTCTTATCATCTAAGCTTTGCATCCCAATAGGTCTCTACGACGCTCGAGTAAATCCCCATTTAGCTTCGTGGGCTCCCCTACCATAATATTATAAAGAGCAAAGATTTTTTTGTTTGCTTGTTAGTTTGTACCGAATAAGCTCCGAACTACTGAACCAATTTAGATGAAATTTGGTAAGAAGATAGTTTGAACCCTGAGGTGGGACATTGGAACATATTAAGGGGGTGAAAATGGGGATGAATAAATTTCATAATAATTAGTTTAAAACATAAAATCATACTCACAATCTTACAAACTCACAAACTTTACCTCTTTATAATATTAGTATAGATATAGATAATAACATAATTCCTTACAAAATCCTTATAATTTTGTTTGTACTCAGCAATCAAATTTCAATTTATACTTAATTAAAATTCTATTCAATATAATATACGACATCGACAACTATATTTTGTTTTTCGTAACCATGGAAACCTTCAATAAAAATTTCATCAATTTTGTTATATCAATTAAAATATTACAATAGATAAATAATACATATTATGACTTACATCCATATGTAGGTATACCTCCAATTGGACCTTTAAAGGCATTCCCTTCATTTTTCAACAAGTTTGGCGTCACTTGAGGTACAACTTGACTAAAACTTGGCGTCACAACTTTGGGCTCGTTCTTTACTGGCATTTGCAGGAACGATGGTAATTGTGGTTTAGGAAACGATTCCATTGGCTTTTCTTCTTTAATTTCTAAAATATATATACATATATTCTATAGCTTCCTTCATAGTATTTAATAAATAATATTTGAAAAAACCTTAGCAATATAAATAAAACTTTAGTCATAATATAAAACGGGTAAAAATTTTAGTAACTGGACATTTAATTTTTGCCTTTGCTTCCTTAAATCAGAATATTATAAATCTAAAATGTACAATTAAAAAAAACATTATTATTATTTCTTTAAGGTATATGGAACACATCAAAATGAATCGAATGAGCGAAAACTCGAAAACTTCCTAACTATTATAGAGTATCTGTATCAACCTTCTGACTCCATCCAAAAGCTCGAGGTCATCTATACTAATATTATAAAGAGGCAGACTTTGTTTGTTTGTTTTTTGTTTGTTTGAACGCGTTAATCTCAACAACTACTAATCCGAATTAAAAAATTCTTTTTGCATTAGATAGCCCGTTTATTGAGAAAGGCTATAGGCTATACATCATCATGCTACTACGCAAGGGAGCGGAGCAGTAATCATAAATCTCAACAAATCGGGCAGACTTCCATACATTATTGTAAAAATATATAATATCTATACATATAATAAAATTGTAACTAAGCCGGATCTGTACGTTAAATATATTTTGGAAAATCTTATTGAAATAAACATTATCATCGATACAGAGGCCGAATCTATAGTTTTTCGAATTTTTGTCTGTCTGTCTGTTACCGCATCATAGAAAAACTACTAGAGGCATTTTGATGAAATTTGGTATGGTGATAGCTGGTTATCCCGGTCAACATATAGAATATTTTTTACCGCGGAAAAATATCTAATTACTGAGAAAAAATACAAAAACTGCAATGTAAGAGTATACTAATAGGTAAAACCTAAGAATTTGGTTTTTGGTCATCTGAACGCGGGCGGAGCCGCGGGCAATACTAGTAATATATATGGACGAACCCGAGCGAAGCAAGCGTGAGTCGCTGTATAACATAAACCCAAAAAGTTTTTTTTATAGATTGAACGCGGGCGAAGCCGCAGCTTTTGCTAGTTAAATGATATTATTCAGAATTTGTTTTCCCTTTGGTATCTAAGCGAGTGTGTTACCATACTATTCTTATTAACAATAACTACTTACCAGGTACTTTTACTTCTTTAGCCGAAGCATTCAAAGCCTCCTCCTTCAATTCTCTTTCCCGTACACTTTGTTCATACTTCTTCTTCATATTTTCCAAGTGTTGAGTCACTTCCACACTCACTGGTTTAATTTTAATAGGTTTATGATTGGACAGTACATCTCTGAGAGCGTCCAATTTTTGGGAACTTAGTAACTGTTCTTTTGCCTTGTTTTGAGGTTCAATACTCATATTCAAGATATTCTTTGTCAGTTTTGATAGTGGATCTCTAAAATAAACAAAACGTGGTATTTAAAAGTGATATTTAATTTGTTTATGCTGATGAAAAAAGAACACAAAACTAAAGATATTTTAATATTTGTATAATGAGGGAAACTTTTATTAAAAATTTGTTCTTGGAAAATTGTCCAATTTTTGTTTAATAGCCAAACCAGCGTTTCTGATCCATCTCCAAATGGACGAGATTTGACACTATGTTATTTTTCAAAATTTAAAAATTGATCTGATCTAATTTTCACTATTTCTTTCATAAATAATCTATACCTATAATCCTATTAATCAATATTATAAATGCGAAACTTTGGATGGATGGATGTTTGTTACTCAATCATGCCAGAATGGGTGAACGGATCTGGATGAAATTTGGCACAGAGATAAGTTATAGTCTCGAATAGCACTTAGGTTACTTTTTATCCCGGAAAAATGTACGGTTCCCGTGGGATAGATTTGTTTTGTTTTTCAAACTTTGCTAGTAACACACTACTTACTTATTCTTAAAAGGCGTGTTTCGTAATAGCGAAGTGGATCTAAATGATGGTGCGATATTACATTCTTTCATAGTGTTTTTCAAAGTTTTTATCATAGCCTGCTGTCTACTGATTATTTCTTGCTGTTTCACTAAAGGCTGATACACATCGTCTAATATGGGACGTATCATACGGTCTCCAGGCCTGGAAATCATAATTTTAATATTACTTAAACACTAACGTTATGTATAATTTGGAGAAGTTGCATTAAATTTTTTTGCCACAAATTTGTATACAAATGAAAGAAAAATACATTGAAAATATATTTAAATAATTTTTTTGTTTTTAAAAATTCCATTTTTTAGTAAAGTAGTAATTTTTGAACGAAATAAAACGACTTGTTTTGGTTGTGACGTCATTATATCCGTTGAGGCTGTGCGCCAATCGCAATCATACTATACTTTTATATTTTCTATATTCGGATCACCATGTGTCATAACAAAAATTTTACGTCAATTAAATAATTTACAAAAAAATAGCCTGTATTATGCAAAGACAACTTTTGTGATTTTGACAACGCAAACATGTGTATTATCATTTTGCCATGCGGTGGCGATACTAAAGCGATATACCTAATGACGTCACGTGCGTTTGAATTTACATTTAAAATAAAACCACTTTTAATTGTAATATTACATGAAAAAACAATTGTTAATTTTTTTTTATTTCTCTTAACAATTTTCAATAAGCTTTAAAAAATAACTAAATTAAAAAACATGCAACTTTTCTAATCAATAAAATAATACTATAGTCAGATTACCCATTATATATAAAAAAATCACAAAAAGGCTTGATACAATTAACATTTGAAGACAAATAACAAAATTACGTAATAAAATTTAAATAAAACAACGTGTCGGATCAACTTTAATATATAGGAAACATCACATTGATCAAATAAGGCTTAACTCGGAAGTTTTCCTGGTATTGTTTAGACTTTAACAGTCAACTTCCATACTCCATCATCAGACAACTAACTTATTGTATTGTTATTTTAATTTCACATACTTCCAAATTTCAAAAATAAATAATATACATAATAAGAAGTAATCAATATGTTTAAACCTAAAATTTGATTACATATATAGTTTAGTGATTTATTAAAAAAAGTAGCTAACAAAGTGCTTTTATAACTCTAATTAAAAAAAAAGTTTCATTTCATTCATTCATTTCAATTAACAAAAGTGTTTTCATTCATTTCTGTTCATTCATTTCGATTGAAAAACAGACATTTTTACTCACTTGCTGTATTCATCTCTAGCGATCATTTCGTTCCATTTATGATCAAGAGCTTTCTGCGCTTGATCGAGTTGATTTTGTACATAGTATGAAAGTTTCTTTACTGACGCTATACGTTTGGCTGTTAGAGGGTCCATTTGCGTCCACTCACGTTGGTCTTTTGCTCTGTATAAAAATAATATATTGTTGAACGAGGATGAATATGAAGAGGGCATGGACACCGATCACGACACCGATGAGCTGAGACTTCGAGCTATGGGAAGGAGCATCATCGACGCGTCACTTTTGCTCGGACGGTCGGCTTGCGCGGATGTGTTAAAGAAATAGTTTTTTTTAGTGTCAATAATTATTATAAAATTAGTGTTAATAATTTTTTGTAAAAGATTTCTAATATAATTTTTGTTCATTATCTTTTTTATTTTAAATTTCACATCTGGTTTATAAGAATATATACTTAATATACCATCAGATTAACAAAAAATTTAATAGATATATATTTCTAATTGGAGTTGTCATTAGAATAAAATTAAAAAATATTAAAACTTTTAATATCCTAGGTTCTATGATGCCATTTTGTGGGCAGGCACCGTTTGTAATAAGTAATAACTATAAGTTTTGATCTCATCTCTCCCGTGACCATGCTATAAAATAAAAATAAAACGGCAAAAAATAGTTTCATTTAAGGTTTAAACCATAAATATCCGCGTAAATCGAGAAAGTATTAATATTATACTCACTCAGCGTGTGCTCTGGCTTCGGCGACGGCGGCGCACGTGCGTACCAGTTCCAACTTGAGCTGTATGACAGTGTCGCGCAAATCTTCCATGGAGCATTCCTTCCTTAGCTTCTCCGCATCCATGTCAATTTCCGTAATTAAATTCGCTGATTGTAATTCTTGTTGCAACTAGATATGAAAATTAATCCAAAATTACTTATTCAATATTGGTATTTAAACGATACAAACATTTATTAAAAATATTTTGCAACATATAATGACAAAACACATATACCCAAATTGAGTACCTCATCTTTTCTTGAGATCATTAAAGACAATATTTGGTCTTAAAAGTTATAAAATCGTACATAATATCAATCTCTCCACGACCGCGGACACGCCGGCGTGTCAGTTAACAATAGATTTCTTAGAAATTGAATTAATTTCTTAGAAATTTACCTGGAGGTGTTAAATCTGTATATTAATAGATATTAGATTTTCCTTAGAAGACATAATGGATATGCTAATTTACCTTTTCCTGTCGCTCTTGAGTCATTTTCATAAACTTATACAACTCCATTTGAAAATCATTAACTTCTTTGATGAGCATTTTCTTCAGTTCTTGATTCGCTTTTGCTTTGCTAATTCTCTCTTGCTCTAGTATCATTGCAGCTGTCACTTCTACTGGTTGGGGTTTCGGTACTTGAACTGTGGCTTTCGGTTGAGGCTATAAAAAAATCTTATTGAAATACTCAATATCTATATATATAAAAGAAAGTCGTGTTAGTTACACTATTTATAACTCAAGAACGGCTGAACCGATTTGGCTAAAAATTGGTGGGGAGGTAGCTTAGAACCAGGAGACGGACATAGGATACTTTTTATCCCGTTCGACCGCGTTCCCGTCTGACGTGACATAAAACTCAAGAATGGGTGGAACAATTTTTATGATATTTGAATTTTTGGATTTCTCTTAGTCTGGAATAGGTTAATAAGTATTAAAACACCAGAAAAATCACGAAAAAAAATAAAGATTTATATGATTAACGCTGGCTAATAACTATTTATATCTATTTAAATCCTAGCGACGAACCCGAGCGAAGCGAGGGTGAGCCGCTAGTTATCAATAAAGAGGCCGAATGTATAGTTCTTAGAATTTTTGTCTGTCTGTCTGTGACTGCATCACGAGAAAGCCACTGGACAGATTTTGATGAAATTTGGTATGATGATAACTGGTTATCCGGTCAACATATAGGATATTTTTAACTGCGAGAAAATGTCTCATTTCTGAGAAAAAATACAAAAACTGCAATATAAAAGTATACTTATATGTAAAACCTAAGAATTTGGTTTTTGGTCATCTGAACGCAGGCGGAGCCGCGGGCAATGCTGGTTTTTTATTAAACTAAACAGGGCGCGCTATTTCACACTGATTGTACTATTCCAATACTTTTGCTTATGCGCTTTTGCGCTGAATTCTAACGGATTTTGCTGTCGAGTTACATAGAACATCTTATATAATAGAACTATAGATCCCACAATTGTACATTGTGTAAATAAATAATTATAGTGTGTAAATATTTAGATAATTTATACATATGCACATTTTATTATAAATTGAAGTTACATTACCAACGAAGTTGGTGTTTCGGTTGTAACTGATGGCGTTTCTTGCTTGACTTCATATGGCTGAGATGCTGGAAAAAAAACAGCAGAATAATAAAAAAAAACTAAGCAACAGGTGATTGTAGCTTATATTTAGGCATCGGTCAGTAACTGGAAACTATTTGTTGGTACAAATTTAAAGTTAACATAAAAAAATTACAAATCTATCTATATATGTAAACAAAAAATAATGTTTGGATGGGGAGTAAATTCGTGTAAGTCGTCATCGACTTGGTCACGTGACGTGTCAACGCTAACAGGGCTTTTAACCTAACCTAAAATATTTAAGCTTAAGTACGCACCCGGACAAAGCGAGGGCGAGTCGCTAGTATTATAAAGAAGTGAGATAGAGAGGTTTGTGAGTTTGTGACGTTGTAGGGGGTAATCTCTGGATCTACTGAACCGATTTAGATGAAATTTGGTAAGAAGATAGATTGAGACCCTGGGAAGGACATAGGATACTTTTTAACCCGGTAATCATCCCTTAAGGGGGTGAATATGGGTATGAAAGTTTGTATGGGGAATCCACCTAAGGACTAAGACTGAGGTGAGTTGCTAGTATATTATATTTGTAACGCTTTATTTTAATTTAGGTACTTTCATAATTAAATATACGACACCTGGTTGAAACGCGCTATTGGGCGCTTGGGGCACAGGTTTCGGTACGATCGGTGTTGGTTGTTGTATTTGTGGTTGCGGTGGTTGCGCCAGTTGCTGTGGTTGGGGTTGCTTTAACTGTTGTTGCATTTGCGGTTGATGAACGATTGGTTGTTCGAGTAGCTGTTGTATTGTTTGCATTTGAGGAGGTTGCTAAAAACGAAATATAATTTTAGATTCAAACTCGAGGTCAAAATATAGTTTATTCTATGAGACTCTTACAAGTACTTCTGAATCGTCAATTTTTAAATTTATTCACAGTATTAATATCAGTCCAACAGCTTAAAATACAGTTCAGGTAAGAAAAGTATTAAATATTTCAAGTGGCAATATATTTTTTTAATTATACAATGTGTTTTGTTGTGAAAAAGTGGATCCATTTTAATTTCACAAATTTTTAATATATTTTTTTTCTATTTGACTTAACAGTTCAGTGTTAACTGATGATGATGAATAAAATTTAAAATTAAGGCAAAATAGTGCAAATGAAAAAAAGGGAGAATATATAATGTTAATAAAAGCTGTAGTACAATAAATTTATTTATAAGTCGTAATGATAACCTTTGGTTGAGCAATAGGTGCGGGTGGTTGCTGCGGTTGTGGTGGTACGTCGTCAGGTATATTGCTAAAAAATAAATCACATTTATAAAAACTTAATAAAATTTTCTAACAATTTAAATAATATATCGTTTAACTATTCTAGGTATGTTTTAACGGTTAGTATGAAATACAAATCTTTGAATTTCTCGGCTTTTCTGTATTATAATATGCATGTATTATATACATATAAACCTTCCTCATGAATCACTCTATCTATTGCTAAAAAGATCTAAGCGAACAAACAGCGGAAGCTACTTCATTTTAAACTATGTAAAAATACAAAATATAATTAAGTTTTCAAATTTAATAACTCTAATAAAAAAACATACATATTCCCTATTGGTCTACTCACAAATAAATTGTCACTTAATTAATTAATAGTTTAAATACTTACCATGTTAAAGCAGTATTAGGCAATAGCAATGGTTGTGTGGGACTACATAGTTGTTGTGCTGACTTGTTCAAATTAATCACATTAAATATAGATAACCACCCAGTGTGAGACACTACATGTAGTAAAGGCATTGGTGGAAGTGTTTGGTTTTCACCTGAAGTAAATATAATAATTATAAAAATTTGAATTAATAATAAGAAAAACACATACATATAAAGTAGATTTGCATTACACATGTGTCATATTTTATGCACCTCCATAAAATATTATTTATTTGTATAATTACACATACATATACACACGCACACACACCCGGGTACACATATATGTATATGCACGGATAAGTTTAATTAAAAAATATAACAGCTTTTTCTTAGATTTCACACTTTTTCTTAGATTGTCCTTTCACACGTCGTCCCACACACGTTGTGCCTCCTCTCACCTCTGCCATCTTTTCGCTTCACTCGTTCCCTCATTAAATTACTCACATATCTATCAATCTCTTTCATCCCCATAATACATCTACTACTCGTCTTATTCATCCCATTTGACGACACGTTTGGCTCAGTTTATAGTGACCCTACTTGCTGTGCCAGCGGTCGCGGGTTCGAGTCCCGCTGAGGGCATTCATTTGTGTGATGAGCACGAATGTTTGTGCTCCAGTCATGGGTGTTTACATTTATAATATGTATGTATTTAAAGATATATATGTGTAGTGTATCAACTATCTGGTATCCATAGCACAAGCCACATAGCTTACCATTGAATTAGATGGTATTGTGTGTTAATGTCCCAACATATTTATTTATTTATAACTGTCTAGTATTCATAACATAAGCCTCGTTGCTAATACCATGTAACTAGATGTTGCTGTGTATTAATGTCATAAAATTTTTTTTCCCCTTCATACTCGTATATAATGTCTATGTGCGTACACGCACGCGACCATACACGGACACGCACCAATATAAGCAAACAAAGAATTAAAAAATAAATTATGTATGCCTAATGTGATATATAGATATTTACCCCAAGGTAACTGATGTATGGCCGCCGTGTCTATACAGACACCAACTGGATAATTCTCTTGCTTTTTATCAGTTAAAGGCAATTCAGGTCTTGCTTCATCTGACTGTAAATATATGTAAATAATTTAACTTGAAAATGTATGTTTGTTACAATTTAGAAATGATCTCATATTAGATAAGTTTTCATAGGCTATATATAATACAATAATTAATATAAATAATTTACAGTTCATAATTTTAAAATCATATAAATTAGATGTTTTCAAAAATATATTACAGTACCACATTTATTCGATTCATTTCCACTTCACCATTAGACAAGTGATAATTATGTTGAAAATGATTCGCACATGAAAATAAATTGAAATAAAATTCGGAATTTGAACCTACTTGACTTGGTTTCCCAAGCAAGGGTGTTACCACTGGGCTACCACTGCCTCAGAATAATATAAGAATTTTATATTATAAGAGAATAATATCATACCTGGCACCATTGTACCCAATTAGAACCATCCATGGTGGCCAATGTTGCTATTTCCATACTGTTGGACGATGATGTCAGTATTAAATTCCTGTAAAGAAAAAATATTTAAAAAGTCATGATTTATACCAGGTGTTATTGTAATAGGATAATAAATATTAACTATAGAAGTATTTTATATTTTGATTTTAAATATTAGTTAGTATGTTATAGGTAATGCTTTTTTAAATTCAAATACTTTGCTATGATTAAGAACGTTGACACCAATAACATAATTAAAAGTGAAATAGACAAATATTTAAATTAATAGTCTTTAAAACAAAAAAAAATCACACTACTTTATTATATGTTATTTCCTTTTACTCTGAATACTCTGCCCAACATTAAAAATCTCATTCGAATTGGTTCAGTATTTTGTAGGCATAGGTTAAAGAGTTAATAGTACACAGATGTTTTCATTTATTACAGTTACCTTGAAGGGAAAGTAATGGATCTTACCAGTGAGAAATTCCTTGTAAATAATAATACCAGGGTCTATTAGACCCCATACTGTAGCAAATGTCTTCATAGTTGATGCATGTTGGTGCACCTCCTTTGGGGGTATTGACTATTGTTACAGCTGAAAATATAATACTTAGTTTAAATATACATGACAAATAAATGTTTTTTTTTAAACTAAATTATAACATATGGCCAAAAATATTTAAAAATATGAAAGTTTGTGAGGATAAATGGATAGATTTACTTTTGTCTAGGCATAAACCCGAAGCAAAGTGAGGGTGAGTCACTAGTATCCAATATATCCCAAATTAAACTACAATTATTTTTTTTATCTTTTTATATTCTTTATTGCACTTAAAATATGATACAGAAAAAAAAAACAAAGTAAACATAGTTCACAAAGGTGGACTTATCTCTAAAAGAGATCTCTTCCAGTCAACCCTGGTTGTGGAAGAAGATGTAAGCGGGCAATATAGTGCAAAAAAAAAAAGTAAATATATACTAGAAATAAAGGTAATAATAACCACTTATACATACATACATACATACATACATACATACATATATACATACATATATACAAAAATATATAATACTATACATATATAATACCTGATGTAAAGACTACTTATACATACAAACATATATACATATACATAGTTAATATATAAAATATGAAAATGGAGAAAGGTACTGATTGATATTGTCTACATTTGTGAGAATAAATAATTTTTTAATTTACATTTAAAAACATGAATAGATGGGCTCTCATGGATGGATTTGGGCAGTTGGTTCCATAGTACTGCGGCATGGACAGAAAAAGAGTTTTGTTGGAATTTAGTATTGCTCCTAGGAATGTCGAGCATAGTAGAACTGCAAGATCTTCTGGAACGTGTAGGGATTGGTAGAAAGTTAAAACGGGAACGAAGGTAAGGAGGGAAATTTTGATTTTTAAGGATATTATAAAGGAATGATAGGATGTGCATATTACGGCGAAGACGGATGGGGAGCCACTTAAGTTGAGCACGGAAGTCAGAGATGTGGTCATATTTCCGCAAGCCAAAGATAAAACGTATGGCGAGATTCTGAAGACGCTCCAGTTTATTAAGTAGCTCCTCTGTCACATCCAGGAAGCAGACGTCGGCGTAGTCGAGAATGGGTAATAGGATGGATTGCGCTAGCATTATTTTGGTTTTGAATGGGAGAAAGTATTGGAGACGCTTGAGAGAATGAATGGAAAAATACATACGTTTACTTAGTTCGTTAATATGAGGTGCCCAAGACATGTTACAATCAAAGATGAGACCTAAATTTCTCACCTTATCCGAGTAATGTATAGGGATTCCAGAGTACAGGATATCAGGTACTAAGGTCCAGTCAATCCTACTTCGTAGTCTGCTGCTACCAATAATTATAGATTGCGATTTTTTGGGGTTTACTAATAGACCGAAAGATTCAGCCCAGCTTTGGATCGCAGCTGAATCATTGTTCAAAGCCGTAACAACCTCAGGCAACTCAATTAAATTACAATGTCGGTATATCTGCAAGTCATCTGCATACAAATGGTAGGGAGAAGAAATGACATGTGAGATATTATTAATGAAAATAGAAAAAAGTAGTGGGGAAAGTACGCCGCCTTGGGGAACACCAGCTGTAAGATCCAACCATGACGATAAGTTATCATTAGCTGTCACGCGCTGCCGGCGCCCGAAAAGATATGATTGGAACCAATTTATAACTGCGGGAGACATATTAACAGTTCGTAGAGTGCCAAGAAGTATATCGAAATCAACCGAGCTGAACGCGTTACTGAAATCAAGCAAAACCATTACAGTGAGCTTAGTGTTGTCCATGGCGGACCGAATGTCCTCCGTGATGTTCAGCAACGCGCCAACAGTACTGTGAAAAGGACGAAAGCCTGATTGGAAGGGACATAACAAATTATTCGAGGTGAGGTAAGTGTAAAGTTGGCTGTTAACGATAGATTCTAGGACTTTGGAGAGGATAGGGAGAATAGATATAGGGCGAAATTGGGTGGGGCAGGTAGGATTAGAGGTTTTAGGTAATGGGATGATAAAAGCATTCTTCCACAGTGAAGGAAAAACATTGGAAGATAGTGAAAAATTTAAAATGTGGGTGATCACTGGTGCAATGTCCTCTAACACAGGTAAAATCATATGTAGACTGAGATTGTCACTTCCAATGGCTTTAGTCGAGATAGATCGGACACACTTCTTAACAATGTCTTCAGAGACAGATTTAAATGAGAAAGGGAGAGAGTCAGGTGGGACAACGTGAGATAAAAATTTAAGGGTATCGGATTTCACTTGAGGGTTTAAAGTTATGGGTGGAGTTGCAAAATAAGAATTTAATGTATTAAGATCTTCGGAGACCACATGGGTATCCGAAGTTTTGCCCACGCCTAGCGACTCTAAGAACCTCCAAACTTGTGCTTGGCAAAGATCCTGAATGGTGGAGTGAATATAACGACGCTTAGCATCCCTACACATTCTATTGCAGATGTTGCGCAGTTTCTTGTATGCATTAAGATTTTCCTGAGATGGATATTTTTTGTTTTTAACTTTTCAGATATGAAAAGCTTACAGGATATCTATATAAAAATATTGTACCTGGACGGCTGTTATCTGCTGCATTTTTATATATAACTGCAAACTGGTAGGTAGCAATCCAATAAATGGCCATTGCTTCAACAGGAGCTCCTTCAAATAATCTTGGTGTTGGAACCATTTTCATTGGTGATAAATCTGGTTTGTACTGAGTGAGTGTTCCATCAGTGTTGCCAGTTACCAGTTGCTTTCCCTTAGGACTCCAACAGAGGCATCTTAAAATTATTAACAAATATATAATGCTTCAAACTGACATTCCTTTTCAAGTTCATTGTAAATATATTTAGGGTTTTAGTACAAAAATAGAATGTAATAAGGAATACTATAATGGCTTAAGGTGCTTGAGCAAATTTAAAACAATAATCCCATAATTATTATAAATATAATAATAATAACAAATATTAAATATGAGAAAGTTTGGATGGATGGATGTTTGTTACTCAATCATGCAAGAGGACACACTATAATACAACCCATAACATATACATCCACAACAACTCATCAACTATAGTCTATTTCATACTAAAACATACCTAGGGATAAACCCGAGCTAAGCGAGGGTGAGACGCTAGTAATATATATAATCCTCAATATTAGGGTACTTTTTATGACCAAAGCCACAGGAAATAAGTAATAAAATAAAATGTCACCTTGCATTAGATTGTATTTTTTTCACTTGCATAGTACTGACTTGACTGACCAAGAGAGTGCCATCAAAATATACAATTCCAATAGTATCAGGGATACAAGGATTCCATTGTAATGATGACACAAATGTTGAAGGATTCACATCACACTTGATAGTCACAGCTGGCCTTATTTCCTAAAATAAAAAAAAATTAACTACTAAGATGCTTGTCTTAAAATATAGGTTATAAAATATAACATTTTTCATTTTGGATATAATTCTATATAAACTAACCCCTCTCACATGGCTCAATCATATCAGTATTTTATTTTTTTGTAACAGTTAGTCTTTTTTTAAAAGATAGGTAAATTCTATTCATATATGTTTTAGTAAATTTTCAATTATGATTATGGTCAAATTTCATTTAGTTTAGTCACTAGCATAATGGAGTGGTGACACATTTCCATAGCGAAATAAGTTTAGTTTTCTGACAAAATGATGTTTGATGTTTGAATGATGAACGATGTTTTTTAAGAATTAGGCTATGATAAGAGTCTTGGACAAGATCCAATACAAAATTATATAAGAGAAATATTAAACAATGATTCCACACTTTGGTAACAGTTTGACAGCAAATTTAATAAAATTTTGTACTATACAAAAAAATTACTAATCATTGTGATTTATGTTCATATGTATTTGTTTTCAGCCATTTTTTAACATCCCATTGGGCATAGTTGGTCCGATTAGACCATAGTTCATCACACTGGCTAAGTAGACTTCACATGTCTTTCAAAATCTTGCTAGGTTTTCTCAGATGTGTAGGTTTCCTCACGATGTTTACCTTCACCGCAAGGCAAGTGGTAATAACATTAGAAATGATTCCCACATGAAACTATCAGAGGTGCGAGACCCGGAACTTGAACCCACTTTACTTGGTTTCCCAAACGAGTGAATTACAGCTGGGCTACCATTGCCTTGGTTCATGTTTATACTAAAGTTTCTTTATCATCCACCTGCATACTTTGTGTTATTTTATAAAATATATCATTAAATATTACATACAAGGTCAATTAATATTTTCAAAAGTCTAAATTATAAATAGCTATTAGTTTCATATTATATACCTAACATAACATTTATTATCAAGTTAAATAATACTAATAATAAAAGTCTAGAGCAACTGTTTCTTGTTTTATGTCAACTACTGTACACCAACTAAATTATTTTAGATTTGTTGATTAAATCATACCGGATTTTGAAAGTCCATGCACTTATAAACAAGTAGCATTTGTCCACCAATAACTGCAAGCCATTCTTGATTACAGTTTACAGCAATGTGTGTGGGAGACACTTGAAGTTTCAACAATACATGTTGTGCCTCAGATTCCTTATCAATTAATTCTTTTAAGTAATATACTGGAATAATAAATTCGTATTAGAAGATTTTGATTAATATGTGGCGATTAAAATATAATTGTGGTATAATGCATTTTTCTTAATTCATGCATAAACAAATAAGTGTGGAAATTTGAGCTTACCTGATAGCATCCCATTAGGTGAGGCTATAAAAACTATACCATATTTACTAGTACAAGCCACTAAATTATATCCTCTATTTGCTAAAGAGTTGTTAGTATTAAATACTTTTATTTTTCGTTGAAGTTTGTATAGTAAATTCTGTAATAAAAATATAGTAATACTAAAACATTTGATATTCAAAATACATAAATACATGAAATTCCAATAATATTTTATTTTTGAAACTTATTTTAAATAAAAACAAGTAAAATAACATTAGTAGCAATTCAGTAAAAGGACACACCGGCTCATCGGAGGAATTCGGTCCAAATTGTACTTCCATCGTGGAATAATAAAGTAACAATAACTATTGTAATGGGACATATATTTTATGACAATGATGTGAAATGTTTACGCTAACAACATTAAAGCAATTTAAGTAGTAGAATAAAAGATCAGTAACACAATCACAGCAAAAAATAGCCAAAAGTTTGACAATTGACAATTGTAAATTGACATTTGACAAGTTGACAGTTAGCATTTGAAATAATAATCTTGACAACTAGTTTCAGGGGGTTTTCCAATTATAGCACTAAAGCGCATTATATGGCATAATGCTCAACTTTGAATTTTTCAACTACAGCAACGCTCCGCACAACCAAGCACTTTGAAAATAATGGCTTTGGCGTGATGCGCGCAATGGATATCAACTCAGTAGCAGGAAATATAAGAAGTGTTTTTTCGTGTTGTTCTTGTTTGTGCGCCAAAGTGCGGCATTATGCTCTGTAATTGGAAACCTGTTTTCCAATTACTACTCAATCCACACACAGTGAAATGAAGTGAAAATGATTTTACCATTTTTACTTTTAAATCCAATTTAATTCAAGAAATACTTATTTGGTACTACTATTAAACAGGTAAACATTTTGTAGAATTCTACATTTACTACACTAAGCATCAGCATTTTTTATAAACATTAATTTTGTATTGACTTTAAAATAAGATTTTGACGCTTAAAGTATGGAATAGATAGACTTTATATACATATGTAGGTATGATGAGTTTTTTTCCCTTACTTAAGAAATGATCGATTCCCTATATAAATTTCCACCCCTCTTTTCACCCCCTCAAGGGATAATTTCTGAAATAAATACTATCCTATGTCCTCCCAGGGTCTCAAACTATGTCCATACCAAATTTCATCTAAATCGGTTCAGCGGGTTAAGCGTGAAAAGGTAACCGACAGACAGACAGAGTTACTTTCACTTTTATAATAGATATTAAGTGTGGATATGGATGATGATTGATCGTACATTAAGACGACCGATATATAAAGACGGTATATAAATAAAATTCAATTGAGCTAAAATAAGGTTTAATCTTTCATTTAGGATCAGGGAAATTTAAAAATTTTTTAATTAGCCATTTACAAATTGTATCTGGAAAAGGCAATTTAAATAAATTATAATAAAATTTGTAACGCCATGATTCTACTTTGTACATTTTTCTTGGGTTTTCATCAGTGAGAGCTTTCATAAACGTCTCAATAATATTTTCATCATTTAACGAATCATATTTAGCATATTTAGAAGCATGTTTTAAATATTCATTTAAAGCTCGCATTCTCTTTTCATGTAAATTTTTTTGCTCTTCCGATAAATGTGCCAACATTTCATTTCCGTTTTGGAATTGATTAGCCATTAAATAACTGGATCCAACGAATCCCCCTGAGAATAAAGAAAAATAAAACAAATTAATATAAATAAGTTCATACTTATTATTTCAAAATAGCAATGCAATTTTGTTTATAATTTTTAACCGAGTTCCAAAAAGAAGGACATTCTCAATACGTCGGAATCTTTGTTTTTTGTTATGTATGTTCACCGATTACTTGAAGGCGCCTGAACCGATTTGGATTTTTTTTTGTTTCAAAGGGTATACTTCCCGGGTGGTATCATTTAAATTTTATCGAAATCGGTCAAGGGGTTTTAAAAAAAATCAACAAATAAATTATTTTTTAAATAAATTGCTTAATCGAATATGTACCTAACTAAAAAAAATTCTTCTTACAAATTACCTGCTTAATACGTCTACACTAAAAATGGAAAAATAAAAACTTAAAAAAAGCCGACTTCCAAGCACTAAAATGCAAAAAAACAACTAAACGGGGATTTTCATTTAGAATAGGTGCCTAATCAGATGCCGATGCAAAGCAAATCTAATATATTATTTCGATACCTAAAACACATCACAAAATGATGTATAATATTTTAACTTTAATTAGAGTTCATATATTTACAATATATAATATAAAATATTGTCGGCTGGCACCGACTTCGAAAATATCTGATTAGATATTTAATATTCTAAATGAAAACCGCCGTTTAGTTTTTTTTTGCACTTTAGTGCTTGGAAGTCGGTTTTTATATTTTTTTTTAAAGTTTTTATATTGTACCTGGTACAAAAGCTATTGCTTTTAAATGGTTCTGAGTGTGCTCCAAATGTAAAGCACGAGTCCAAGCTAATAAGCCCGCTTTACTTGCACTGTAGGGTCCAAAGCCTGGCAGAGGTTGCAACCCGCAATGGCTTGCAATGTTTATTATCCGTGGCTTAATTCCCTTATTATACACAAACAAAATAAAATAAAAAATAGAAAAAAGTAAATTAGTCAAAAGTAAATAAAAAAGTATATAAAATATAGTTTCTACGAGTATATAATTGTGTATTTAAATTTGATTGACATCTATTTATATAAAAAATAAAAATCAATTGCCGTTTGTTAGTCTTTTTTTTATTAGGAATAGGCTTACTCTTGACCTTCATCTTAGCTCGAAGCCATAGATAAGGTCTACGATTTAGCGAGTTTGTCCAAGAGAAGCCTGATAACACAGTCTCGCTAAAATTCAAAAAAGACTGGGCCGATTTAAATAATTCTTTTTTTTTGGTGGGGGTGTGTTAGGGGTGGTTTAAGTACAAAAAATAGGGAAAACCCAAAAAAAAAATATAGCTGGAAAATCGAAAAGTTCAAAAGTCAGAACTGTTCATTTTGTACTTATGTAGGTATGATGTTCTCCTAGCCGATTCCAGCCACGGCGGCCAATCTCATTGAGACTAGCCAACTTCGCAGGAGATATTACAGTGCACAAGTGTACGCGCAGGCACAATGTGCACTCTCTATTCCTGTCACTCTCATATTCTGGTGGGACGACTACTCGACATGACCGGTGAGAATTAAGGCGGCTTTACGTGCTCTCCGAGGCACGGGGGTGAAACACCGCCAACTTCCCAACTCCGGGCCGTTACTGAGACTTACTATACAGAAAGACTCAATAACTAAACTTGGCCCGACCCGGGACTCAAACCCAGGCCTCCGAGTGTGCAGCCGTACATGCTAGCCACTACACCACCGAGGCAGTCAATATCGAGTATGTCTATGTAGGTATATATTATTATCATCACTAGTTAATAAATAGGACCTTTTAGTTTGTTTTTAACATTATGAGATACAAGCTCAAAATATTTTCATAAGAATATACATAGTCATACTATTATTTTATTATTAATTCTTCTAATCTTACTTCATTTGCACTATGTCGCAAATCAGGTAAAAATTTCGACACTATCCTCATTGCCCCAAGTAAATTTACATTTATAGTATTTTCTATGATTTGCGGTGTATGCCACTCATAGTCACCAATCGTCATTACTCCAGCATTGTTGACTACTGCATAAAGTTCTAAAAGAAAAAAAGGTTTGTTATTTTACACAATTTAGTTCAGTACCTACTCCAATAAGTTTAATTTCTCATAGATCGTTTTGGAGTTATTTTTCCTGTGCCTATTATGACGAAAAACAGGCTTTAAAGCTACTTACTTATATATATGACAGCATGTATGTATGTATATTTCATTGGAAAAGTGTTGAACTCGGTTGAATGTCTTAAAATAAGGGATTTCTTTTTATTTTTTTTAAATATAATATATTACTAAACGTGACCCGCTAAGGATTTGTGACTACAATTTTCATAAAAAAATATACCATTTGTAGTACTTGACGCGTGTGCTCTCTCGAATACTAAAAACTTTAGTAAATAAACATCGATATGAAAATTTTCATATTGATATTCACTTTATGATGGCTATTCTTACTTTTGATCGAAAAATTCATATATTTTTATTACTCTTTGGTTTTCAAACAACGTACAAAAATGCTTTACAAATGAAATTCGATTCAAGTTTATTTTATTCAACAAATATTTTTGTGGGTCTGCATACCTAAATTTACAATATCTATTGGAATTAAAAAAACTCACTGTAATTTGGATTGTTTTTCATAAGAGTCTTAATGTAATTATGAAATTCAGTAATGCTTTTGGAATCTGTAACATCCAAGTTACACGGATGAGCGCATAGATTCTTAAGAGCCCGTGAAGCTTCAGTATCCGTTCCTTTGTACATGCCTGGAAATATTATAAAACTACCATTAATATTTTTGAAGTAAAAGTTCTTTATGCACGCTTGACTGGGGAGTAAGCTGGTGAATGCGTGACAAGGGCGTTACGAAAATTGTGATCGGGCGGGGCGAACATTTGTTGCCATGGTAACCGTTGTTATTGTCTGGCAAATGATGTATAATATTATATTTTTGCCTTAAATGATTTTCTATAAATATATGATTGTAGTATGCCTAATATGCGTTATTTAATTATTTTTATTAATATTTATCATTCTTTTACAAACAGAAAGTTGTGGCATACGAGATGAAATCTTTAGCTATTTTTGTTCTGTTACACCAAAGAAGTATAGCACACACACGTTTTTTTAGTATCTCACCTATCCTAATTATTTAAAACATAAATTGAATTTCATAAAGAGTATCTACCGATAACCTACAGAAGTTTTAGTTCTTGCGTATGTACACATTCATATATGCACTCTTTAATTTTTTTAATATTAATTGTGATCTAAATTAAAATTATTTAGTTATGTTCATCACTTCACGTAACTTTTTAAAACCAATAGGTAAAGGGTTAAGAGGAACAGAAACAAAACTATTTCCGTTGTCTAAACAAGGTATTACCACGGTAATATATATAACTACCGTGGTAATTATCGTGGTATTACTATCTATTAATACCTATTTTTGAAGTGAAACTTCTTTAGAATCGTGATTTGAAACTTTATAAAACGAAAATGCGTCACGACAAAGAGACAAACACATAAATATTTATATAGGATTAAACCGGCGAGAGAATGAGATAGATATAAATGTATTATCAATTATTGTATGAAGTGTTAGTTGCGTGGCAACCCGCAGTTCCTCATGCGGACTTTATTTATGTATAATTGCTCCGCCCCTAAGAATCGCAGATACGATATAGTCCATAATCTTCTTTAATAAATTACTAGTGACTCACCCTCGCTTCGCTCGGGTTTTTCCCTAGGTCGATTCCCCATACAAACTTCTATCCCCCTTTTTAACCCCTTAAGGAATGATTTCCTAGAAAAAAGTATTCTATGTCCTTTCCAGGGTCTCAAACTATCTTCTTACCAAATTTCATCTAAATCTGTTAGGTAGATCCAGAGATTACACCCTACAACGTCACGAACTCACAATTCACAAACTTTTCTAATATTAACTAGTATAGAAGTATAGATAAATAGGTTATAAAATAAAATATATATATATATTTAAATCCAACTTATAATTCCAAAGATAATCGCGTTTAAACAAGAATAAAACGAACTCTTCAGCTTAATATAATTATTAGTATCTATTAATTATTTTTATGTGCCTACCTGCTACTGTAACAAGTCCTTCCCGAGCGGTTCTTGCGGCGAGTGCCCATCCGAGGCCACTGTCACATCCTGTTATAGCTACCACTTTAGTCCAGGACATGGTTTTTTCTGAATGTACCTATATATAAACTTTAATTAATTGATGATCAATAAATAACACGCAACAAGTAAATTATGTTCTATACATGTTGATTTTCGTATCTATGCACAATAAAAAATATATGCATTATGCATTTAAAAAAATTGGATCTTTTAAAAATTTTAGGTTTGGGGCATATTATGTATAAGATCAAATTCACTAAATCTTTACCTGTCGTTTTAAATGCGCATTACTCGAGAATGGTCTTCTCTGGGATTTCTCTATTACTTATTATGCCTACCTGTTTTATGGGTTCTTTTATTAGGTAGAATTCATGTTTACCAGTTATAGGCTTCGTTTAAATAAATGCACAATTCACGTGCTTGCGACGTGACTGGAAGTCTTATTATAAGGTTTACAATGGTGGTAAATATTTGTTTTGGTGGCAACATTCAGTTTTCTAAATTAATTTTGGTATTATCTAAATGAAACAATTAAGATTAAGAAACATAGACTCACCAGTGCTTTTACGTGTCTTGTTGTGAACAGAGTTCGGAATATACTGACCGTTTTGCACATCTTTGATTCGTTGCATATGAAGTAGGAGTCAGATTTCATTGCATATTTATAACGAATTTCATGTATGAATTATGTTTGGTCGTGTTTGGTTTGAATTTATTTCTTTTTCTCTATTGTATTATGTAATTTTTATATATATGTATGTAAGAATAAAACTAGACTTAGAAGTACCTTTTTTGTACAGGATTTTGAATTTTTGTTTTTTTTTATATTAACCAATAATGACTTAATCTAGAATGCGAATTAAAATAAAAATTATTGATTAAATGGTTTTAAATCGTGTGAGTAATCAAACCTGCGATCATCGACACAGTCAGAAGTGCCACTTCGACACTGCGCCCGGTCTTATGTATTCAGCTATTGAGATTACTATTATTAAAGGAAAATGTCGAGTATTTGAACAAAGAGACGCCAATAAAAGAGGATCATTTCAGCACGAATACCCAACTGAGAGATTAGACCTATTGAACGGAAACAATCTTGTATTTCTAGTTCGCTTCATCCAGATCCGATCTATTGGGCAAAAGTGTTTCAAAACACCGCAAACGACACTAAGCTATCTCGAGAGTCCTACAGGCCTAATTATACGACCGGCCAACTAATTATTTAAAATTTGTTATATCTATCATTAGAAAGTAGAGATATGATAAAGATACTTTATTATATCGACATTTATTATTACCGGGCTCAACATCTTGGCACTCCTGGGTCACTCTCGGAAATTTTCGGCAAGACGAAGAGGTTGCTGAAGTTCCTGGAGGAACTGGGGTGGCAAGAGTAACAAGAAGTTAATTTCCCACACACGCAAAATAGGCGCAAAGTCGTCGAGTTGCGGAAAACAGCCCGAACATACCATACCATACCATACCAAGATACTTTTATTAACAATGTCCCATATAATGAAATGAAAGACTTTATATTTTAATAAGATTATTAGACTAATACAAGCACTTTTGAATCATTAAACATTTAAAGTACCTACATTAGATCTAAAAGTTTGTAGATTGAACAACGGAACCTTCTTTGATCTCATGAGATATCTATCATGTATCGATCGATGAATATGTGGTTATCATCTTTACATAAGTATTTTATTCAAAACAAGAAAAGATTACAAATATCCAAATAAAATGTATAGTTTACTTAGATATTTAATTCGTACATATAAAAAAAATATGCTTACGTTTACTCTATGATTGTTTATAGTTGGAGAGACAAGAGTGCAACTTGCAAGCCCATGGTAGCAAAAGGTATGACAAGAAAACAAATGATACTCTAACTACCCTATATTTAAAAATACGTAAACACCGTAAGCCGTCTCAAGTACATACTACCTCATGCATCCGTCTTTTGTTTCAGGGACAAACAGACGCCTTTATATTATGGTAGAATCAAAGTGCAGTCAAACATATTTTTTAATTATTTATTTATTATATATATATTGCAGAAAACATAATATTTCATTCAATTAATTTTATACATAAAATTATGCCACACACTCATATGTAATAATCCTAAGTGTGTTCATATGGATGGACTAGTTTTTATATCATAATAATATTAAATAATATTAGTTTTTTATATTACTATTTATCCATTCTACATATTGAAAAACATTTGTGTAAAGGGACGGTACTGATGTTCCACAAGGGCTGTCTGCTCTCTTTCCACTGACTACACCGATGACATAATAGCTACCTCTATATAACATCATTAAAGGTCCACCGGAATCACCTTTACAAGTGTCTTCACCTGTACGCCCCGCAGCACAAAGATGTGACCTTGTCAAATGTGGATAGGACTTCTGGCATTCGTCATGGGGTACTAAATGGACTACAGTCGACTGTTTAATATCGGTGACGTACGGACCGTTACGGCCCCAGCCTGCCACGGCGAGAGGCAGGTTGGAAAAATTAGGGTTATCTATGTCGATAGGTGGCAGGCATATTGATCGGATGAATCCTGAAATGATAAAAATTCAAATATAAATGTAAGCTTTCAGTATTATAAGTTTAATATATTCTTGTTCAGTAACGTACTCGTGTATGGAGCGTAACCGTGGAGTCGAATGAGTGCTATATCATTATGGAGGCGATCGTCGTCATATTTCGGATGACGTATTACATCTTCTGCGTGCATCACAATGTTATCTATACATTTCTTTCCCACTCCCATTACAGATTTACAGTCTCTCGGAAACGTTCTCTTATCATACTCAGCGAGTGTGATTTCAATACTGAAAATTAATTTATAAAAAATATAATATTTTCTTACTTTTTATTTAAAACTAGCATTGCCCGCGGCTCCGCCCGCGTTCAGATGTCCAATAACCAAATTCTTAGGTTGTACATATTAGTATACTCTTACAATGCAATTTTTGTATTTTTTCTCAGAAACTAGATATTTTCCCGTGGTAAAAAGTATTTTTTCATGATGCGGTAACAGACAGACAGACAGACAGGCAGACAGACAAAAATTCTAACAACTATAGATTCGGCCTCTGTATCGATTATAATGACTATTTCAATAGGGTTTTCCAAAAAATGTATAGATTTGACTCAGTTAGAAGTTTATTATATGTATAGATTACAAAAAATATTAAAAAAATATCCAGTTAGGTTAAAACGTTATCGGAAAAATATCTTTAACACTAATGAATGACCCTTTAATATTTACTTTTCGAGATGAGATAACAAGTGTTTCACATTTAAATTTCCATTAAGATGATGTTTAATTAATTATTATAAAATTATTTCCTAAAATACAGTTTATCAATATTGCTTTAATTTATTTTTTAAATACGTACTCAAGTATATCGGCTCCTGTTTCGAAAACACAATGGCCAGCAGTAAGAACATATTTTGGACTGATCAAAGAACCACCACAATTGAACGCTGCTTGTTTATTACCATAGTCAAAGGTCACTTTTAAAAGCACTGTCCAAGGAAACTGATCTAACTCAGTCTCTTTGCCACCTAAAATATAAAATAAATGCAATAACAACAAGAAAATAAATAATAATAAAGTAAACTAGCGGCACATTATATTTTTTTTGAAGAACCCTAATTCTTTTACTGAAATAAAAGTACACTAAGCTACTCCTTATAAAATCAACTACCTGCCAGTGAAAGTCCCATCAAAATCGGCCCAGCCGTTTTGGAGATTAGCCGGAACGAACAGACAGACAGACAAAAATTTTAAAAATTGTGTTTTTCTTTTAAAGCCGTATATAATTCCATATGTATTTAGTAAAAAGCTGTTAGTTTGACATTACAAACAGACACTTCAATTTTATTTATCTGTATAAATAAACATAAAGTGCATTTTCAATTTTTGTTAAGTAACTAAAAGTATAATTGTGAAATAAAAAAAAATACTTATTTTATTACCTGCAATTCTGTCGTCGAGTACAACTTCTGCTGTACTATTTTTAACGGAGCGTTTGCCTCTCTGAGGATAGTAAGAGGTGTTTGGATAGTTTTGTTGAGGCCATTTCTGTCGTGGCCTATTTTGGACAGGAGGTGCGGCGTACATATTAAGTATACTTTGTAAATCTGTGCGGAAGAAGACAGTAGTAAGGTTAGTAAGAATGAATGGAAAATTAATTAAAAGAATATTTGTCCCATTTTAATAATTTGATAAGTAGTGTTAAATAGAGATAAGTGAGTGCAAAAATATAGCCTGCTAATAGGGATTATGGAGAAAATCAATAATATAAGGAGTATATAATAAATAAATTAAAGCAAGTTTATAAATACCCGTTATTCTATCGCTATCTGACATGTCTTTGCCACAGCAGCCTGTCGCAGGATCTGGCGGTAGGCTCGATTGTACTGCACATTGCTGCTCAGCATTCACTCCATTAAATGAATTACCATCGCCATTATTTAGATAAGGGTTTTGTTGCTGTTGCTGAGGATATGCATTGGGACCCTGATAGTAAGGATTTTGATTTTGTATTTGTCCAGGTAATACCCCCATTTGGTTAGGATTTTGAGGCGTTGGATACTGGTTGTTTTGGAATCCTTGATTTGGGTTTCCGGCAGTATTTATTCCATTGTTTGGATATCGTGAGTCTGGATTTTGTTGATCGTATATACCCTGATTGTATAAGCCGGTCTGTGGATTTCCGTATACGTCTTGTCCGTCTGGTTGGCCTTGTGGGTTATCATAATCACCAGGGTTGATTTGATTAGTAGGTGGTTGGCTATATGGGATTTGAGCATTTGGTCTGCCACCTTGGTTATTATAAATATTTTGATTGATATCTCCTGGTTGTGGGTTAACCGAGTTGTAGATATTTTGATTACCAGGTCTCAACAGTTGATTCCCATAGTTTTGGTCAATTGGTTTTATTTGATTACCGTAGTTCTCTTGTGGTTGAGGGTTTAAATTTAAGTTTTGGCTATTTGGATTTTCAAAATTACCCGCACCATTGTTTTCATTAGGTCTAATTGATTCTTGTGGTAGATTGTTATTATTACCTTTACCATGTCCATTCTTGATTCCCCAAACATTTGAGTTAGGGCAGCACACCTACAATTATATAAAGAAAATTAGTACAATAAATATAACTAAACTCAACAGTAAGAGTTACAATAATATGTCAGTTATAATATTTACGTAATCTCCTTTAGCAATAGAAGAAAATCCGTAAATCGATGATCCTCCACCGTTTTGTGAGACGTCACAAGGGACTTGTTCAAGCCACATCTGTTTTTGATGTTTATTCATGTGAGCAAACATCGGACAGTTTTCGATTTTCACACATTTTTCACAGATATCTGCATGAAAAATAAAAAAACGTAATAAGTAGAGCAAAAATGCTCAATTAAAATAAACAAAGAAAATGAATAAATTTCTCAATATCTATTATACAATTAAAACTTAAGTTTAAATTGTAAAATTATATATAAGTATCCACGGATATTACAAGTTTATTTAAAACAAAATAATGTAGGTAATAGACTTAGTAAATAAAAACTATAAAAAATATAAAAAATATACCTTTTCTAACAGCGTTCACGAATAAAATATTAATCCAAATTAAAATAAATGTGGTGCAATGTGTGAACCGCACCATGGTTGTTTGATTAATGCAACATGACTAAACTTTCATATACAATAACGACTGAAAGAACCTTTTCCGACCCTTTCTTGCTTAGGCCATTACAGACATTAGTAGGTATATCATTATCTACGTGTATTTAATTGTTAATTAATGAAGTGAATCTGTTTGTGGGTATTTGCCTCTAATTGCATGACGTGATATAACTATAGAGCTCGTTATTAAATGAATAGTTTTGAAGCAATCACAACTAAATGTAATAATCAAATTAATCATTTCATAGAAAAATTACGTTTAATTGATGTTGTTACTGCTATACAATAGAAATTTCTACGCTCTATTGTAACATTTAAAATAACTGTTCGTATTGTTGTAATAAATCTTTAATAAGGAAAACGTATAATATTATACGAAAATGCTTATAAACGTAAGTTTTAATCTGGTGATTTTTTTAATAGTAGATTTATGTAGTCAAGACTAGTTTAATAATAGAAATGTAGTATCATTCTTTACTGACATCAAACCCCTTAGAAGATGTACTCAGTTGTATCGTTTTTTTGGTTTTGGGTGTATATTTTGCGATATGTTCGCAATTCGAGAATCAATTTCCATATTTTTTTAAATTAGTACCCACTAAATACTTATTAGTGAGTGATCGAATCATTCTTCGGATATCAATACTATATAATAAAAAGAGTAGAGGTCGAATGTCTGTACATAGCAAAAAAATGGTAAAAACCGAGTCAGGTGGATGTAAGAAGACAAATAGAACGAATCCAGATTTTTTTCAATTTTTTTGTTTCTCTGTCTGTCTGTTTGTACGGGCTAATCTCCGATTTAAATGAAATTTCGCATGGTCGTACCTTATATCACCGGTCAACATCTTAGATACTTTTCATCCCAGAAAATTAAAGATGACGTGGTATAGTTAAAAAACTATAGTATCTTACAGCTTAGTACACAACAACTTATGCACCTAATTTAGTAAAGTTTAACATTCTGATACCTTATATTGCCGGTCAAACAACAGGTTACTTTTCATCCCGGAAAAATGAACGGTTCCCGTGGGAACTAATAGATCTGAATCAGTGTTTTTCTAGAGGCGAACCCGAGCGAAGCGAGGGTGAGCCGCTAGTAGGTAATAATAGAGTAATTGGTAAACTGAATTGTAATTCTATCTCGTACATTTCCAATCTGCAATGCGTGGTATTGAAGTTTACATATTCTTTTTCATGTCTGAACGACAAGATGTCGCTTGAGGTAACTTTGTTTGATATTAGTATACATTACAATTTTTGTATTTTTTCTCAGAAATGAGATATTTTCCCGCGGTAAAAAGTATTCTATATGTTGATAACCAGCTATTACCATACCAAATTTCATCAAAATCCCTCCAGTGGTTTTTCTGTGATGTGGTAACAGACAGACAGACAGATAAAAATTCTAAAAATTATAGATTCAGCCACTGTATCGGTAATAATGTTTAATTCAATAAGATTTTTCAGAAAATATCTAATGTACAGAGTCAGCTTAGTTACAATTTTATTATATGTATAGATATGGAGCGTTTCAATAGCAAATAAAAAAACGCGTAACGGCGGGACACGCACTAATTGTGACACGTGAATATTTACCGCACCCATCTTTATTTGTTGGATTGGTTTTACATAAATTTCGTCAGTTGAGACAGATGGGCCGAGGTTTGTGTTTAGAAATGAAAATAAAATGGTCGTACAAAAGTTACACTCACTGCTAATATTTTATTTTACATTCAACAATTTTGTACTCATCAAAAATAAAAACGAAAGAGGTATTAAAAGTAAATTTTATTTAATTTATATATACTTTTTTATACAGGTAAAATTAAAGGCTTTACTTTTATAATAGAATAGGTGCAAAAAATCTAAAGATTTATTTCACAATTTAAACTTCATTTTCCCAAACGTACAGTTACCTTGAAATGAAATTTTAACTTTTCCGAAACTTATTTTAGATCTTTTGTCTTTCGCCGTCATGATTTAAAAGACCCGTTCACGGAATAGCGGTCATTCGACCGCCACTTTTAAAGAGAAGGACTCTCGAGGGAAATCTACGCGCCCCCGGTTACGTTCTGATAATAGTGTTTGTTCATTTAAGTGTCTCGATGTATTGTGTTCGAGCCTAATGGCGTACGGGAAGAGTTCTTTTAGGCTTTTGATGTGTTTAAACAATATAAAAGGGATTAAAATTAATCATAACTAAATATATTTAGTATTAGTTATACCATAAAATTTTTACACGAAAAGTACAAACGATATTTAAATTTATTGCTATTGGTTAAATGGTTGTGAGCAAATAAAAAACAATATTTAATAATTTAAACCTTTTATTCTTTCTTAATGTTCGTTAAAATTCGACCATGATAATTATTGAAATTTGGGGAAATCATACATAATATATAAACATAATTTACCTACCTACATAAATAAATTATCTGTTTCAAAAAAAAAATTACTGATAGAGCACTAAAGCTCGTCAATAGCTGCTGAACAAAAAAAATTGTCTTCTCTTACAAAAATACATAGGTTAGTTTATCATGTTTAAGAGGCCCCTCCAGAGCGCTGTTCAAAAAAAAATTAAGAGGTCGCTCAAATTTTTAAAAATCGACCAGTCGGTCGACCAGCCGGTGGACCAGTCGGTCGATCAATAGATCGATCAATCTATCGGTCAATCGGTCAATCTATATATCTATGAATATATGAATCAATATATCGATCAATATGAATTATTATATGCAAAAATAAGTTCGCGTTTCATTTTATTTCTTAAGGATATTATAGAAAACAAATTTAATTTTAGTGGTCATAACTCAAAATATCCATCTATTTATATATATATATTTTATGTATCTATATTCTTTAAAAATTTTCGTTTTGAGTATTTAGCAAGCACCATTTCCTGTTTTTTGCACATTTCCTACTTCATCTTTTCGAAGTTAGAGGAAGAGAGTACAGTGATACGACTCGCATACAATGTTTACGACTTAAGAATCATGTAGCTGTAACACACATGTTCGTAAGTTATTTTAAAGACACAATGTTATGTATATCTGAAACGTTCAGTCTCTCTCCCTCCTTTCCCTCCTTATTTAAGTTACTTTGAATTGCCATTCCTATTTTATTAAGCTTTCTGCCCGTGGTTACACTCACGTGGACTAAAGGATTTGTTTAATTTTAATTTTCATTGAATTTACATATATGTTGTCATATCGAATTCGTTATTATTGTTGTATATTATCACTCCAGATTCACTTAGCTTAGTCTACGCTAAAAAGTTGCGAACAAGAAGTTAGAATTTAATCAAGATATTTTTTTTAACACCACATTGGTGGATGTTTTGTCTGCTTTTTCTAAAATGCCCATGTGTGTGAGATGCAATCCTCTCTGAAGTCTGTGCCTGCTACTTTGAAAGACTGGCCCAGAGAATCATTAATGGTCATTGCAAAGCAGGTTTTACCCCTTTCAAGAATAAATTTTCATTAAGTAAAGTATCACTTTACAGTAGTAAACTTTTTTCTTTAACAAACCATATCAATTTTTACATTTCTAACGTCAAAAATGACAAAGTTTCATACAAACTTCCATTCCCTATTTTAATACCTCGGAGGATGAATTTCCAAAAATACCTTGTTAGCACACTTACGTTATTTAAGGAACATTTGTGCAAAATTTCATATTTCTAGATCCAGCGGTTTCAGCTGTGCATTGATTGATCAGGCAGTGAATCAGTCAGCCAGTACTTCTTACTTTATATACATATATAGATATGATATTATTACAAATATAAAAGCGTTTTTACTATTTTGTCTTTCATTTGCTCAGTAACGGGCCGATCGATATTTGTATTTTTTTGTTTAGAGATAGTTTGTGGCCGATGAGCTTTTGTGAAGAGGTCGATTTACATGCCTTTTTGTCAAACATTTTTAAATAGGATTGGGTACTAGGTATAATAAAAAAGACTCGTACAATTTATAAAAATGAAGAATAATACTTATGGATTAAAATCTTCTTTATTTGGAACACATTTGTTTATGATAGGAAGTAAAAGTTAAATTCCTAACTGCATCTTTATCCAAGGTAAAAATTTGAATACATTTGTATAGACGGATGGCACTGACGAACCACAATAGGTATCCACATTCTTACCACTAACAATACCGACAAGATAATAAGTACCCCTGTACAGTAACATTAAGGGTCCACCAGAATCACCTGGACATTGATCTCGGCCAGCCGCCCCGATTGCACATATGTGTGAATTTATCAAATAACCGACATAACTGCTACATACATCATTTGGTACTAAACCTACGACAGTAGTCAGTTTTATGCCGGAACCTTTTGAATATGGATTGATTTGACCCCAACCAGCAATTTGTAGAGGCAGGTTGGCAAAATCTGGTCTATCTATATCAAAGGATGGGAGGCATATTGGTCGAATAAATTCTGAAAGATTAAATTATAATATGAATTTGTTTACAAAGTATTAAGATATATAAACTCTTTCTAGAAATTAATTTTCACTCTACAATATTAATGCTTACCAGTATATGGGGCGTTAATACGTAGCTTTATAAGTGCTATGTCATTATGAAGTAGTTGTTTGTAATGCTGTGGATGATATACAACGTTCTCTGGATATATCAATATATTTTCCACACATTGCTGGTTCCCCGCTACATACTTACAATCTGTAGGAAAAGTATTTAAATCGTACTCAGCTGCTGTAATTTTAATGCTGAAAATAAAAGAACATTTAAAGATAATAATGAGCAGTGATTATATTGTTTCACTACAATAATAGTGTTCGAATTTAGATTTTTTAGAGATGAGATATTTTCTATATGTTGACCCGGATAACCAGCTATCATCATACCAAATTTCATCGTCATCATAATTTTAAAATCTGTCCAGTGGCTTTTTCGTGATGCGTTCCCAGACAGACAGATAAAAATTCTAATAACTATAGATTCGGCCTCTGTATCGACAATCATGACTATTTCAATAAGATTTTCCAAAAAATATTTAAGGTATAGATTCGACTCAGTTAGAATTTTATTATATGTACTAACATTGCCCGCGGCTCCGCCCGCGTTCAGATGATACCAATACATATACCAATTTCTTTGCAGACCGCATGATTGGTAAATTACTATTGCTAAAAATAATTATTATCGCTTGCTCGTTTACTAAACTAGGCGCATAAGTTGTGTACAAAGCTGTATAAGTTACTTATAGTTTTTTAACTATATCACGGGAACTCTTTAATTTTCCGGGATGAAAAGTATCTAAAATGTTGACCGGGGATATAAGGTATTACCATGCAAAATTTAATTTAAATCGGTCCAACAGTTACGGAGATAGTCGTACAAACAGACAGACAGATATTCAAAGAAAATTGAAAAAAAAAAACTGATTTTTTCTATTTCTTTCCTTACATCCCCTTGATTCTGTTTTCTTGTTGTAGCATTTCTTTTCTATGTACAGATATTCGACCTCTAGAGTTTTATTATATGTATAGATATGATTCATCGAGTATGAAAACATTGTAAATCTTCTCTTTAATTCTAGATCTTTTAACGATCTCTTTAAAAAGATAACTAGTTTAGGTCACACAAGTTATAAAAAAAGTATACGATACTCGTGACATAAGTTTATTAAAGCACTTCTTAAGGCACACGTATCGTAATGTACTATTATTTTACTTTTAAAGTAACATTAGTTTGGTAAAAAAAATATATATAAAAATACCATAGAAATTTATAAGTCAAATATATGGCGACCGGCGCTTATTTAATCTCAATACTGTCTATGACTCGACTCACGAATCACCTTTTTTTTTTTTAACGTTGGGAAATGCATTTACGCACGACGTGTGGGACTCACCGGCGTAATACAGCCAGTACTACCCACTAAAACCCAACAAAGCCTTCCCCCGTCTTAATGGCGCGTCGCAGGATCGCTTACGCATTCAACTACGACGCCCCGACGGGACTCACGAATCACCTGGATTTTCATACAGAATCACCTTATTATTACTTATTGCACTGGAGATATTGTAGATGTATATATATCTTAGTATTTTTCATTTTACAAATTGATGATTGATGTTATACACTAACAGTCTAAATATATGTAACGTATAAAAGTTTTCTTACTCAACTAAAGTCAGTCCCTCTTCGTGAACGCAATGAGCTGCTGTAAGAATATACATTTGGCTGATCAGTGAACCACCGCAAGTAATAATTATTGTTTGATCAAAATGTGATTCGAGAAACACCATCCAAGGAAACTGGCCAAGCTGAGTGTCTGTGCCTTCTATAAAATATCAAAACAAATAAGAGTAATCAATATTTAAATTGGAAAAAAATATTTCAAAATGAATAAACAAGGTAATAAAGTCTTGAATATTCAGTTACTAAAACGTTGTGCTTGTTTTTATCATAGTTGACTCTGTGATTCTTTTTGAATATTTTTCGCTACTTTTTATTGTTCTGCATCTCACCATTCACGTCCATATGGAAATAGTATGATTTTAAGAATTATTGTTAATATAAGTTTACATATATTTTGTTTTTTATACCTGCTATTCTACGACTGGGGATGATTCCACCTTCAAATGGAGCACTATCATTTGAAGAGCGTCTGTTTGACGGAAGTAAATTTTGGAGATCTGTTTAGAAAATAATATCATTAAAATATAATAAAAGATATGTAGGTAATAAGATAATATGTATTATGATACTTTACTTTCTTAAATATACGTAAATATTCGACATTTTAAATAAAACTATCTTTTCGGATTTTTTTTAAGTTTATATATATAATAATAGCAACACTAGGTAAGATTACTATTATTAAATTAATTAAGTTTAAAAAAATTGTAATAATTATTATAATAGCAACTAAAAATAAATGAAGAAAATTTAATATTCAATTATAAAACTTATTGGAATTTTATAAATATTTAAAAATAATTTAACAAATATTGTAACTTTACAGTATTTAATAATTTTAATTACTAAAATTCTATTTATGTAATGAGGCTATCCTTGCCCCTTGCCTTGACCCTTGGATGGTCCTAAGATTTACAAAACATCAAATCAGCTTACAATACACATAGATAATATTTTGTAACATTCAAAAATACTTACACCCCAATATCCTGCATTTATGTCGGTTAAATATATAACAAGGTACTTTGTTACTAAACAAAATCTAGTTACTAGGAGGTATTTATGTATCATATTCATTTGGTTTTTTAAAGTATAAAACTAATATTATGTACACTATATAATATATGTTATATACACGTTACCCTCTGTTCGGAAGCCACCAGATAAATCTTGCCCACAGCACCCTGTAGCAGGATCTTGCGGTGCCCACTGTGCTTCACAATTAAATTGACCTGTAAATCCATACTTCCATACTAATATTATAAATGTGAAAGTGTGTTTGTCTGTTTGTCCTTCTTTCACGTCAAAATAGACTGACGGATTGGCATGAATTTTTGTGTGGAGATAGTTGGAGGGCTGGACAGTAGGCTACTTTTTACCGCGGGAGATCATCTCATTCCCACGGGAAAACGCGTTGCAATACAACCCAAAAAATATTTATGATCAGAATTACTTGAAACTTGGTATAAATGCTCTTCAATACAATTAAATAAATATGTTAAGCAGACCACAGCAACCATGGGGCTGCTCCACAGTCCTGCTTTGATTAATCGTTAACACTAGCAACTTACCCTAGCTTTATTCGGATAAGTTCCTATAAAACACACGCACCCATGTACACACGCACCCACATACACACAGATAATATAAATAATAACATATACTACCTGCAACAGAAATAGCCGAGATTAAAATGTCGATCAAAATAAATATAAAACTAATATTGTTATAAAGCATTGTGCCCATAATAGTATGATTGATTCGTTTGAAACGTTCACGTATGAGCACGGTACTGAACGTATTATTTCTTGATTTATATTTGATAAAAATAGAATTTTGCATTAGAATAATTGCTAATATACAAATTTTCCATGGCTAAAAACCATGTATGTGTATCAAAATCGATACACGAGACATTCACGGTATGGAAAATGCTTAGCGGAACATTTACATGGGAGACAAAACTCTTCTGACGCAGAAGTTTAACCTAGATCACTCATTATTTAATTTAATTTGATCTAAAATAAACAATTATATTAAAAAATTAAACTTATAAATTGAAATATTATAGTGGCTTCTCGGATGTCAGCCTCATCAATATTGTAACTTAACCTATTGATTATGATCAGGAAGTGATTGTTAGGTTTCTTTAGACTTAAGCAATAGGAGCCATGAAGCTCTACCAGTAACTCAATTTTGAGATCCTGTAAAGATTCCTAAAACATTGCTCTAAGAAACGTTTGAAACGTATGAACGAGTATTCTAAATAGATACCTACTCTAGTTTAAGCGTGTAGTTACCTACATAAGTTAACAAAGTTAGTTTAAATGTACATAATAATATTTTCTTATTTAAATTTAAATACACTGAATTTTTAACCGACTTCCAAAGAGGAGGAGGTTCTCAATTCGTTGGATTTTTTTTAATGTACATACGTATTTTCACTGATTACTCGAAAATACCTGAACCGAATTGGAAAATGTTTCGAAGGTATATTTCCCCGGTTTAAAAAAAATCTATAATATTTTTAAAAAATAAACTGTTTAATCGAATATGTTATTAAAACACTTTCTTCTTACAAATTACCTGCTTATTACGTCTACAATAAAAATGGAAAAGAAAAGCCGTACATTTTCCGGGATAAAAAGTAACCTGTTTGTTATTCTGATGTATGAACTATATTATTGTAAAGTTTCATTAAAATCCAATCAGTTGTTTTTGTGTACTAAACTATATAAGTTGTTATAGTTTTTTACCTTTCTATAAGAAAAGTACCTAAAATGTTGACCGAGGATATAAGGTATCACCATGCAAAATTTCATTTAATTCGATTTAACAGTTTCGGAGATTAGCCCGTACAAACTACAAACAGAGAAACAAAAAGTTTGAAAAAAAAACTGTATTTGTTTAATTTGTCTTCTTACATCCCCCTGACTCTGTTTTTGGCGTTTTTTTTCTATGTACAATTAAATAGGTACAGATTTCGAAAATCTTGAAAATAGTGTTAGTTATGTTAAATGCAAAGTTTTGTTTTCCTCTACGAGTCTAAGCTCGTGTGTGGGATGGCTTAATTTAATGCTATGTTTGATTACCCTTATAATAGTAGAGGAGCCTAAGAGGGGATTTTTGGATTTACTCAAGCGTTCTAGATTAATATAAGGGGGAATACCTTGCAATCTTTTGAGTACCTCCACCACCTATACAAATAATAAAACTGTAGAGGTCGGATGTTTGCACATTTTTACCAGTGGTAGGAAGCGGCAGAAAATTGTACATGAATTTGTTGCCATGATATGACTGCTCTCGTGGTTTCGTTCTCCGACTAGGTGATGTATGCTGTGCATGTAGAGTTGCAAATGGAACGTCGATGTGTACATGAACACAACAGTCCCCCACTAAGTCTTGTCTGTGATGTGCAAGTGACCCATTCCCAGCGCTTTATTTGTTAGTCTCTTTTTTACGTCTTCGTATGCATAATAATAAGGAATAATTTTATTTTTTTATTTCATTTACTCTTTTTTTTCTGCCCTTACATTTAGTGTTACGTTTTGTAAGTGTGAAACTGATAATTCAATTAATTACAATATACAGGGTGGAATAAATCGATATAATACTGAGTTTTATTTCTGAGTAATTGAACGCCTAAAGATGAAGATACCAATTATAGTCCTACAATCGCTAAGTTAGTGACGCAAAGGAGGGTAATGTGTTTATCAGTCTATGTATGTATGCATGTTTGTTCCTATATAACATTCTAGAAACCAAATGCGTGGGCCGATTTTGATGATTCATGTCGTTAGATTAGTTTTAATAACGTGAGTGCTATAGGCTATGAAAAATTGTTAAAAATTAAAATAGCGGATTTCAGGCGCCAATTTGTGTCGTTAAAAAAACTTTCTTCCAAACTAATCGAGTGGGGTATCACAATAAAGGTTTTTAAGAGGCGATCAGAAAAATATAAACTCATATGAGTAAAAGTGATTTAGGATAAAAATTGCTAAATATTACTTCAAATGTCTAATTGGCTAAAACTAAAAAGCTATGACTAAATAAAAATATTTAAAAAAAAGCCGACTGCATTAAAATTTACTAAAAAGATGAAAACAAGTTGACGAAGGAATGTAGTATTATGCAGTCGTTGGCTCACTATTACAAGGTTCTAAGTTACAATTTTAGTACTTATTTCGTTATGAATGCTACAAGGTTCTATGTGTCATTAGCTACAGTTTTGCAAAAACAAACCAATAGGTAGCAGCCCTTTACTTAAAAAAAATTCAATTTTACATAGTTCTATGTTGTTTTTTTTTTAAATAATAAAATAACGAAGTTTTATGTAAAACATAGAACCATTCAATGTTGGTTTTTATATTTTTTTAGGATAGCAAGTTTCTATGATAAACAGAGGACCTTGCTTAGAGTTTTACGCTTAGAATTTTATTTACAAGTTTTATTTAAAAGCACAAACAGATATATCCCACGGGAACCGTTCATTTTTCCGGGATGAAAAGTAACTTGTTAGACCGGCAATATAAGGTATCAGCATGCCAAATTTTACTAAATTAGGTGCATAAGTTGTTGTGTACTAAGTTGTACAAGTTACTATAGTTTTTTGACTATCCCACGGGAACTCCTTAATTTTCCGGAATGAAAAGTATCTTAGATATTGACCGGGGATATAAGGTACCACCATGCAAAATTTCATTTAAATCGGTCTAATAGATCCGGAGATTAGCCCGTACAAACAGACAGAGAAACAAAAAAATTGAAAAAATCTGGATTTGTTCTATTTGTCTTTTTACTCCCCCTGACTCCGTTTTTAGTATTTTCGTTCTATGTACAGACATTCGACCTCTACATTTTTATTATAGTATAAATTTGAAGTCAGCTTTAGATGTTCACACACAGCAGAATCTATGTATCGATGGATGCCTACAGTGAACAAGGAGTTCTATGAGGCAATATTCAAAGTGTAAACAATTTTTTATGATAATAAATAAATTTCACATATATACAAGTAATGTTTTTTAATGGTACTGAGACATGATAACATATTATAATAGTTCAGATGACTCAAGAAAATTAATACTGAACTTGGACATAAACTAATATCTTTTACTTATTTAAATGAAACGAAGTCCTATGTTCTGGTTAAAATAATTTTTTTTTTTCTTTCACAAAGTTCTATGTTATTTTAATTTAGACAATATTGCTTAATATCAAAGTCAATATCCAATTTTTAGTTCTTAGAAAGCATCATGTAGTCCTTAATTATGCTAATAAACTGTCAGGGATTAGGACTAATAAGTATACATTTTTCAAAAGTCAAAAATTTTAAAGTCAAATTACTAAACTTCCTTAAAATTAACATAGAACCTTGTAATAGTGAGGCAACGATTATGTATATGTTGTACACCTCGCGGCTAGGATGAAATGTGTACTACTCCATTAAAAATTAACGCCTGATAAAAAGGAATAGCAAACACAATATCTCTCGTTCGTTATGATTCAGCGAGTTGGTTTCTTCTTAAGAAGACTACATGTACATATAGTACTAGCTATGATATATTAATTACTGGCGAAAGTAAAAAAAATATGCCAAAAACTTGTATACCCCTTTTACAGTTCTATCTATATATGTAGATATTTAATATTTATCGGTGCAATTTAAAATTTGTAAAAGATACTTCTTTTTACAATTTATTTTTATTAGGTTTCAAAATCATCAAATTCTCAAAATTTCACCAATTTTTTTTAAAATAGTTCGAAATCGGATAATCAGCCGGTTAATTTATTAAGAGGACAGTAAATTCTATATTATTATAGAAGCTAAATTCATAAATGTATATTTATCCAAGCTAGAAATTGGTACACATTCATATAGATGCTTGGCGTTGGCGAACCACACCACGGGGATTTTATAGTTTTTCCTGACATTATACCGACGAGATAGTAAGTACCCTTGTACAGTAACATTAAAGGGCCTCCAGAGTCACCTGAACAACCTTCTTGGCCTACTGTACATAATTGCGATCTTATTACAGGAAACGCATCAATAGACGAATAAATTTTCCTGCATTTATTATTTGGTACTAAACCTACAACGCCTTGGCGTTTTACGACAGACTCGGTATTCTGTGGGTCGGTAACACCCCAACCAGCAATTTGTAGAGGTAAGTTAGCAAACTCTGGCTGGTCAATATCAAAAGTTGGTAGGCATATAGGTCGAATAAAATCTGAAAGGTAAAACATTATGTAAATTTAATTTCGAAATATCGAATATCAACTTCTGATAGTTAATATATTTATGCTTACCAGTATATGGAGCGTGTTCGCGAAGTCGTAGAAGTGCTATGTCATTATAAATATTATCTCTGAGATAGTTTGGATGATATACAGCTTCCTCTGCGTATATTAGTATATTTTCGACACATTGTTCCTCTCCCATTACATATTTACAGTCTTTAGGAAAGGTTTTTAAATTGTACTGAGCGAGTGTGACTCGGGTGCTAAAAATAAAGAACTTTATAGTTTAACTCGTACCTTATGTTTAAAAAATTGTCATCAACTGTAATTTGATATTAAGTATAAGTATGAGTTAGTTTTATATGATCACTACATATTATAAAAAGTAAAAAAAAAAACTAAACTGGGGTTTTCATTTAGAATAGATACCTAATCAGATATTTTCGAAGTTGGTGCCAGCCGAAATCAAAGCAAATTTAATCTATTTCGATACGTAAAATATATACTTAACTATATCACAAATTGATATATAAATAATATTTTAACTATAATTAAAGTTCATACTTGTCATATTTACCTATTAGATTCAAATTCAAAATATTTTATTCTGCATTAATTTTTTTTTATTATCAGGATTTTTAATTATTATCAGGATGCTGTTAGCCTAAAATTACTCAATTAAGTTATACAATATTAAATCGTTATTTTATTTTTGAATTATCATCTTTTCGAATAGTTCTTTTATTATTCTTATTCTATATTCTATACGTATAATAAAATAGCAACTTGACGAAATTTGTACATGATTATTTTTTTAAAACAATGAATGTAATATATTGTGTACAGTATGTACATCCCAAAACAATAGTTATTAAAAGTTTTGTCTGCTTGTGTCCGAACCAACTTTAACTAAATTTTGTATAGTGATAACTTATTACTCGAGTCAATATTTAGTATACATTTTACTACACGGAAATCTTTCGTTTCCATGGAAAAACACAATTGGTTCGAGTCATCTTTAGAAATTGACATTACTGACGCTGGCTAAACATGTTAGGTTTAATAATTTGCGGCTAGAAGAGCCGGTACTACCCACTAAAACCCGACATCCCTTCCCCCCGCCTTAGTGGGACGCCGCAGGATCGCTTGCGCATAACTACTACGGCGCCCTGGCGGCAGGTCTGCCTAAACGCTAGGCAGACCACCAAACCAATGGGGCTGCACCACAGTCAACTTTGCTACGCCAGAGAGGTACCCGGAGCAGCCCCATTAAACCACGTTCTTACGGAGAGAAAAATTTCAAAAATTGTCAGAAAAAGTCTAAAAACAACACTTTTCTATACGCCCATACAAAGGATTCATAATAATACTTAAAAGTTAATTTGAATTTTAATATCATATCATAAAGTTTAAGTGTTAGTGGAGAGGTTCCGGGAAGGCAAAACAATTGAGTGACGTTAGTATATTTGTCAATATTATCAACAAAAAAATTAAAATGTATATGGCTATCGCTGGCTAATAACTATTTTTATCTATTTAAAACGTACCTAGCGACGAACCCGAGCGAAGCGAGGGCGAGCCGCTAGTATATAACAATAACATAAGTATTCTTACGAATTCATAGTCAGACTGTCGTTATGAATACAATGCGCTGCAGTAAGAACATGTCTTCTGCTAATTAGTGAACCACCGCACTCAGTTCTTATGTTATTAGTTTCATCAGCGGTATTGAAAAGTGTTTCTACATATACTATCCAAGGGAACTGCTTGAACTCCGTCTCTGTACCTCCTGTAATAATACTAAAAAATTTAAAAGAATATTTTGTAAAAATGAATGTGTTCGCACTTCCTAATAAAAAAATATATGTTATATATTTTATTGAATGTCTGTGCCTTTTATAAAATATCAAAATAAATATATAGTAATAAATATATAGAAATAACTAATTAAACAAGATTGATAAATTACTAGAAAATCGAGTTTCTAAAAATTTAATGTCCCAATTTTTATTTTCATCATAGTTGACCCTGTGTTTCTCTTTGAACATTTTTCGCTACTTTTTATTGTTTGGCATCTCACCATCTACGTACACGTTGAAGTAGTATGTTTTTACATATTTTTTTATATACCTGCAATTCTACGACCGGGGATGATTCCTTCTTCAAATGAAGCACTTTTGTTTGAGGAGCGTCTATAATTATTCCTAGTAAGTAGATCTTGGAGATCTGTATAGGAGAGAATATTATTAAAACTAGGTAAAAAGTATGTTATATGAAATAAATTCATCCAAGTTGAACTTACCTATCAAGCGTATCGTGCGACCAAACAATACACACACATACATACCTATGTATTTGTTATGAATAAGCTGATGAAAAATTTCTTAATGATTAAACACCTACCACAAGTTCGACACGACCTTGACTAGTTCTAGCGATTCTGAACATACAACTCTCCTTAAAGATACGGTAGTCGGTAGGTCCAAAATACAGACATGTACTGAAGATGGCCAGCAGAATTATTTTAGGAGGATGCAGATTTAAAAAAAATATCGATCGTTAATACACGTTAGACCGTGTATCCGGTCAGCAACAAGATCGAAAGAAAGGAAATTAATTACAAATCTTTATAACCTGATAGATCAAAATTGTTGTATTTTGGTTTACCTAGTCTCTTCTCGCTTAGCCACGTATTCCATCTATTTCTACTTAAGTCTCCTGATTGGTTTATAGCACCTTTTCAATTCAGTCATTGAACACTAATTTTTAATACTAGTAACACTTTCACTATGACTTCACTCTAATTTTCTTCAATTTTTCACTTTTTTTGTACTTCTTCTCAGTCTTCACTTAGCTCCGAAATTCTACTGATCTCTCTCGACACACTTCTGGTCTTTTTATATACATAAAGTTATGATATACGTTTACCTTAGAGTCCTGTAAACGTACATAATTGTATAATTTAAAAAACGACAAACTTACAGACATGTTTATAAAAACAAACTTACAACACTTTCTACCATCCTACATGTATTTGTGTTACGTATTTCCCAAAACTGAATAAAAAGACTGACTGAGTTTTAAAATCGTGTACATTCATGTATTGCATACATCACACATACATACACATATATTTTGATTTAGATGTAAATATAAACAGTACATTACCCTCTACTCTTTGAATACCAGAAATATCTTGGCCACAGCAGCCTGTAGCAGGATCTGGTGGCAGGCTTGACTGGACTTCACAGTTTGATTGTTCTAGAAATATTTTAGTTTAGAATTAGTGTTTGTATGTATTAATTATTTTTTTTCATAATTTTAACAAAATAATTCGCTGATATAATTTAGTTTTACAGTAGCTTTTGCCTGCGGCTACGCTCATATAGTTTATGTTTCTTAATAAATGGGCTCTAAATGTAAAGTTTTTTAATCTGACTGGTAGTTTTACAATTTAATAGAGAGAAATTTTTTGAGAGGAATAATTCTGTAAGACATTGTTCTCACATAACTTTGTTAGTTTACGCGCTGCGCGAAATTAAATCTCCCAGTCAGCATGATCTTTTCCGAAAACTTCAACAATCACATTTCAACTAATTTACACAAAACCTTAACGAATTATGCACCTAAACCTTCCTTATGAATTATTTCATCTATTGGTGAAAACCGTATCGAAATCCGTTCGGTAGTTTTTGAATTTATCGCGTCAGATAAACAGACAGACAGACGAGGCGGGAGGACTTTATTTTTTATCATAGAAGACTTAATAATATGTAGTGATGTTTACAAGATTTTAGTGACTATATATCCATTTAAATAACAATTTGTACAAACCTGTGCTATACATTACTAAACTTGAAATAGTAATGAAAGTAAATATAAAGCTTTTATCGTACATTCTTTCCATAGTTCACATATGAACACAATACAGTCAGTGGAAACAATAACATATTAATTTCACTCACCTTTCCTTCTTATAGCTTCGTTATAGGCAGCTACTATGTGTAACTAATTGAGAATAACGGGATTTGATCTAATAATGTTATGGTAAAATGCGTGAAGTGATATAGCGATAGCAACCAATACCAACTGATAGCGACTATTGATGGTAAAATATCATCTATTTGATTTAAATAATTAATATACATAATATTATAAATTTAATCATAGCTAAAGAAAATTCATTTGAAATGACCTATAACATCCCATTAATTAATTAATTAATAATATTATAAAATATTCAAATGAGAAATTCTTGTATATTCATTTATTTATACTGGCGATATTGGAAACGATATCGCTGAAATTTTGTATGTGGCGGTTTTCGGGGGCGACAAATTGATCTATATTAGTCTTATGTTTGGAAAAACGCGTGTTTTCGAATTTTCATGCGGTTTTCTTACGCATTATTCCTCGCAAAATATGGTCGTTAATTTCGCACGCTCGCGGATAAACACCGTGGTCAAGCGGCCAAGGCGCAAGATTGACAATCATAGGTGTCGGGGTTTGAATCCCGGTCGAATACAAAGTGATTACTTTTTGTTTTTTTTAAGCCAAATTAAAAAGATACAATTAAAAATTTTTACATATGGCCAACAACTCCTAATATCATAAATGCGAAAGTTTGGATGGATGGATGTTTGTTACTACCTACTAGAACGGCTGAAGCTGAACGGATCTGAATGAAATTTAGCACAGAGATACATTGTAGTCTGGAATAGCACAAAATTTACTTTTACTCCGGAAAATTATTCGGTTCCCGTGGGATAGATTTGTTTTTGTTCTTCACTATTGACAAACCCGAGCGAAGCGAGGATGAGTCGCTAATTATTACAATATAAAAGTCTATTGTAACGTACTCAGAGATAAAATATTACTAACTGTTGGTAACACGCTCCCTTGGGAAATCGAGTGAAGTGGGTTCAAATCCCGAATCTCGCACCTCTGATATTAACATGTGCAAATCATTTTTAACATCATTACCACTTGCCTTATGGTGACGGAAAACATCGTGAGGAAACCTGCATGTCTGAGAGAACCTAGCAAGTTTTCGAAAGACCACAAGTCCACCAACCCACACTTGGTCAGCGTGGTGAACTATGGCCTGATTCCCCTCGTATTGAAGGGAGGCCCGTGGCCAGCAGCGTGGGACGTTAAAAAAGGTTGAATAAATTATGTATGTGATGTTCTCCCGACCGATTCCGGCCACGGCGGCCAATCTCATTGAGACTAGCCAACTGCGCAGGAGATATTATAGTGCACAAGTGTACGCGCAGACACAAGTGCACTCTCTATTCCTGTCACTCTCATATTTCGGTGGGACGACTGTTCGACACGACCAGTGAGAGTTAAGGCGCAGGACCGACGGCTTTACGTGCTCTCCGAGGCACGGGGGTGAAACACCGCCAACTTCCCAACTCCGGGCTGTTACTGAGGCTTACTTATACAGAAAGACTCAATAACTAAACTTGGCCCGAAATTATGTATGTACCTACATACTAAATGTATAATATACACGTATGTAGTATATATAAAATATGACAATATTTTTATTAGCTTTTATTTAAAAATAATAACTATATGTTATATTTGGCACAATGCAACTGTTTTGTTTGTATCTCTATATAGCCTAATATTATTGTAAAGTATACATATATAAATAATGAACTAGAGGTTAACATAATTTTTTTCTAAGACGACAGTTTCTCATGACAGACTCAGAGTATTTTATCTATTTATTTGCTTTTATTGTAATAAGTTTCTATTATATTACGCACATTATAACATCTTTATCGTGATGTTGATGTAGTTGAGATAATGAATAATTTTTGATATGATAAATACTAATTACTTACCGGGGTTGTTTATTTTTATTAATTAAGTTTTTAGCAATGTCAAATCGATCGATATATCGATATATATATAATCAATAGAAAAAACGTGTAAAAACGCAAATAATCAAACCACAACAAATGTAAATCTCAAACGTAAATACATTTTTTTAAATTTCATGGCTCAATAATAATATTATGAAGCTGTATAAAACGTGACAAATTATAATTTAATATGTGAAAAAATAACTCAACATTTTCATATTTTATGTGTTACATCATCTAAAACCACCACGTTAGTCTAGTGGCTCTAGCTGCAGGTTCAGTGGTCCTGGATTCGAGTTCCGGGGCGGTCGAAGTAAAGGTTTCCAGTCAAGAAATTATCAGTAATATGTTGCATTGTCGTGTCAGTCGTCGTCCTATGGGACTTGCTTTTGCGCATACAATTTTGTAGTTAAAAATTTCCTGCGTACACAAGCTTTACATACGAGTATTACACGAACGTCTGACTGACATTGGCTTTCGTGGGCGAAATAGATCTGGATTCAATGTCTTTGTTTAGTGGCTTCTAGGAATGCCGTGTCATGGAAGGATCATTATATCAGATATGAACTTTCTGTCAATCATAAAATATTACATGCTAATGCATTTTTATACACATATATGTACGTATGTTACATTTTCGCTTCAGAAAGGTACCTACCGAAACAGACACGAACGTTTGTATCGAAGACGAAGTTTTTCCAATCAGCAATATCGTTAAAAACTAAAAACTTTATTAATTAGTAATCTATATTTAGTGTTGCCATTATTATATTTATAAACACAAAGAAAAATATAATATTGATTATTCAAGTAAGCCACATTATTGTTCTATGTGTAATTTAAAAAATATTAAAATTAATTAAGAATTAGTAATTTTAATTTAGTTTTGCTATTATTTAAAAAAATAAATAAATCAAATGTTTTCTAAAAAATTATAATAAATATAATAATAACAGGTAAAATTAAATAAATAATATTTCATATTCAATTATAAAACTTGTAAGGTATTTTGATGCCATTTTTAAATTTCCTGAATTCATTTTTTTTTATTTTGTGGGCAGGCTGTCTGTAACAACTATATAATGCCTTAGAGACATCTAAAAACTTAGTCTCTCCCGTGACCATGATTGCTGTAAAGCATTCGAAACGCAGGGAACTAAAAATCTAAATAGATCCACAAAAAAACCCCGAAAATATAGTTTTATTTAAAATGTCAAATATTCGCGAAAATCTAAGAAGTATTAACTGTATAGTAATTAAAAAAATTAAAACAAGTTCACGAAGGAATATAGTATTATGCAGTCGGAGACATACACGTTTCATCCTTGCCGCGAGATGTACTCGTATGTATGGAATAGAATAGGCCGTTTTATCTGTGAAAAGTAAAGGTTACACAGCGTGGTCATACTTTTTGTAAAACTGTTGAAACAACATATGTTCATCATTTTGATTTCATTAAGGAGATTATTTATTTCTTGGCGCAACTTTTTATTATTAATCCCGTTGTTTTGTTTTTCTCCACGAGTCTAAGCTCGTGTGTGGGATGGCTTAATTTAATGTTATGTTTGATTACTCCTATAGCCCAAGAGTGGATTTTTGGATTTACTCAAGCGTTCAGATTAATATAAAAGGAGATACCTTGCACTCTGTTGAGTACCTCCACCATATAATGATGATGTTCTCCTAGCCGATTCCGGCTACGGCGGCCAATCTCATTGAGACTAGCTAACTGCGCAGGAGATATTATAGTGCATAAGTGTACGCGCAGACACAGGTGCACTCTCTATTCCTGTCACTCTCATACTCCGGTGGGACGACTGCTCGACACGACCAGTGAGAGTTAAGGCGCAGGACCGACGGCTTTACGTGCTCTCCGAGGCACGGGGGTGAAACACCGCCAACTTCCCAACTCCGGGCTGTTACTGAGACTTACTATACAGAAAGACTCAATAACTAAACTTGGCCCGACCCAGGACTCGAACCCAGGACCTCCGAGTGTGCAGCCGTACATGCTAGCCACTACACCACCGAGGCAGTTAACCATATAATATAAAATAAAATTAAAAAAACCATATAATATAAGTCCTCTGTATACGTTAGCGCGTCCAGGGCAAACAATTAAAATATTTTTATTTTAAAAAGTGTATCATTGTTTTAAAAAATATTCAAAGTGAATTGAAACGAAATATTGCGTCTGTTAATCATAGTAGCGCAATTCCACCGATTATTTAAATATCAGTGATCAGATGATGGGTTTGTAGTGTAGATATATTCACAGACGGCACTTTTGCTTATGATGATTTTTTATCTGAATTAAAAATTGTTTAAATCACAGATTTTTTTTATTCTAATGCAGGATGAATTTTACAATATTAACCTTACATTAATTTGCACATATTTATAAAATAAAACAGTTTAACTATTTGTGAATCAACGACATCTATTATCTATTTAAGCAAACAAAAAAAGCCCGAATTAGTGGTGTATAAATTTTTTGTATGACGTTAGGTATCTGTACCAGTATAGTGTAATATGATCTGTGGTGATAATAATAGGGTCCTGTTGGAAATCTTCGGTTACAAAACCCTAAAACGAAACGTTTATACTTTTATCTGACAATTACTAACAATTAAAAATAAATAAAACAAGTACTTACATAATTTAACCTATTTTATTAGGAAAACATTTTTATGTTATATGTCGGTGTTAATATCCTAACTGTGTTTTTATCCAAGGTAGAAATTGGAATATATTCATATAGATGGCTGGCACTGACGAACCGCAGTAACTACCGCCACCTTTTCCACTGACAATTCCAACGAGATAGTAAGTACCTCGGTACAGTAACATTAATGGCCCACCAGAGTCACCAGGACAGGGATCTTGGCCAGCCCTCCCAACAGCACACAGTTGTGATCTTAACAAAAAATCATTATAGAAATTCCTGCATTCATCATGTGGTACTAAGTTCACAACAGTAGACAGTTTTAGGCCGTAGCCGTTATCATATGGATTGATTTTACCCCAACCAGCAACTTGTAGAGGCAGGTTAGCAAAGTCTGGCCTATCTACATCGAACGGTGGGAGGCATATAGGTCTAATAAATCCTGAAATATTAATTATAATATGAAATAGCGTGGTGGACTATGACCTGATTCCCCTCGTACTGAAGAGAGGCCCGTGCCCAACAGTGGGACGTTAAAAAGGGCTTAATACATAATATGAAAAGTATCACAGATGTATGGATGAACTCTTTCTACAAATTAAGTTACATTCTTTATCAATACTTACTAGTATATGGAGCGTAACTACGAAGTTTAATAATTCCTATATCATAAGAAAGGTGTCCGCCATCGTGCTGTGAATGATAACCGGAGTCCACTGCATACATCAATATATTTTCCACACATTGTTGGTTCTCTCCCATCACATACTTACAATCTATAGGAAAATACTTTAGATCATATTCAGCGAGACTGACTTGAATGCTAAAAATAAAATAACATTTTAAAAATATTTTAAGCGATGCAGTTTGATAGTTTCCCTAAAATTTGAAACTCAAAAAGAAATTTTGAGAATCAATGTCATTGTAAAATTAGGTTATAAAATTAATAGAATTTTACAAGTATCAAAATGTTAATACGGTGATATCTTAACAAATTAACAAATAATTAGTAGGTAGTCTAAATCAGTTGGTCCTAAATGTTAGGGTATAACTGAACTAGTTAAGCCCGACTGAATAGTAAAGAAAACGAATTCTCATACATAACATAGCGACAAAATCCGAATAGATAGTTTTATTTAAAATTATTTAAAAAACTAATTCTGTAAATAAACGGTGAATGAGTATTTGCTCCTGTTTTACTGTACAGTCAAAATGTAAATTTGTTTATACCTCACGGTTAAATTTTAAACTACTATGCTTACGTTTACTTTACCTTAGAAATGAGTAGTGCTTTTAATGTTTTATTTTATTTTAATTGATACATTAACTATTTTTATTATTCATTAAAAATTTAATTATATTATACAATTTCTTTTATGCAAATGTAAGAAGCTTCTCATTCTTGTTACCACATATCTGATAAAATTGGAGGTAGTGTATCAGCTTATATACACAATAACATAAACCAAAGACAAACAGAATCAATATACGTTAATAGAAATAACTACCTATGGATACTATTTGAAAACTGTGGAGTAGGAGTTACCTATAACCCGGGTGATATTAATTTTTGTTTGATACTTTCTTGCGGGGTGCGCGGGTTCAGCGTGCTAAGACCCACCCAAACACTCAAGGCCATTGGGGACACTAATCGCCTTAAACCGAAGTTTTCTTACCCAACTAAATTCAGTCCATATTCGTGAACGCAATGAGCTGCTGTAAGAATGTATAGATCGCTGATTAGTGCACCAGTGCAAGTGCGTAGTATTTGCTCAAAATATGTTTCTATATATACTACCCAAGGAAATTGGTCCAATTCAGTATCGGTGCCTCCTATAATACATATAAAAAATTATAATATAAAACTTATTCAACAAGACGCTTCAGATATGTATGTAACAATAACAATAATTCAGCCCTTTCCGACGTTCCACTGCTGATAATGAGGTTCCTATGAAGGGTGGGATCAGGCTATAATAGACTACAACCTGCCAAGTACGGTCAACACGGTTGGTGAACTTCATATGCCTTTCTTAAACTAGTTTCCCCGTTTTGAGCGTTATTTTTAGTAATAATGTACTTAAATTAGTATTAAATTACACTTTTTAGAGATACCTGTAATTCTGCGACTGATGTTCTCACTTTCAAACAAAGCGCTATCGTTTGTAGAATGTTTGTGTCTATTAAGATTATTTCTTGGTAGTAAGTTTTGCAGATCTGTGTAGAAGAGAATATTAAAAAAACTTATGAAATTCAAGAAATAATTTAAACTCGCTTTCAAAGCGTTTCGTTCAACCAAATAATATATTAAAATTGTATGACTAATGTACTAATGAAATAAAAATTCAGATTGCACAGTGATATAGGTACTTAACGCGATTTTTATTCGGATTTGATCAGATTTTCCACTATCACTGTACTAAATTTGTTTCTTGACTTATTGAAAAGGAAAACATAAAAACAAAAATGTTTCTTTTGATAAATCAATGGTTATTTTATCCATTATAGAAAAAAATACTGTTTTAAATAATCTATTCGGCTTACAAAAAATAGCTGTATAAAGGTAAATGGAAGGGCAGATCGATAGAAAACGTAAGGTTATCGTAGGATCACAAGTCCCTGTTCCCCCCCCCCCAACAAGGAAAAAGTAAGATTAAGATTGCTCGCTAAGCAAAAATTGTGGGATTGGTTCTCACATAGAGTTAATGTTTGCGTTGACCATATCTTTTAGATGTCCTTCTATTCATAATAAAATAATTAAAATCTAATTAAATACATAAAGATGTCGTGTAACATAAATACAAAAAAAATAATAAAGTATATACAATATACATATTGAAAATCTACTCCACTTTCTACTCATTGACAGTCGGTTAATATGTAGTATATTTATTAAGGTGTCCGTTATTTGCCGAGTTGACTTTTTTTTCTTGCGAACCCCCCTAAATATTTAGTTTATCGTCGAAAAAAATTGTAAGACCAAAATAATCCCTTAATATTCATAATAAACTTTGCCCTATAGACGATATATTTCCCATTGGGATAATATGGGAATATGGGATTTTCTCACTTTTCCAATTTTTTTTTCTCGAACAAGATGACTTACTGTAATGAGACACACATTCTAATAGAAAATTAAATCCTCTACAAAAAAGGTTTCTTATAGTTTTTCGATTAATTCGCTCCTTCAAAAGTTATTCGAGGTGAAAGTTGAACTCTGTGTAAATTTTTTTATTTTTATATTTTTACGGCAAAGTTATTATTATTTCGATAAAAATATTAGTTACCCAAGATATATGTACACATTACCCTCAACTCTATAGACTCCAGATAAATCTTTTCCACAGCACTCTGTAGCAGGATCTGGCGGCACCCACTGTGCTGCACAATTTGATTGTTCTAAAAATATTATAATTCCTTAAAATGAGTTTTACGTATAATACAATTAAAAGTTTTTTTTACCATACTTAAAAATTAATACTAGTTACTTTTCCGGCCGGTTAAGTTATTCCGGCTTCTGTTCGCGTAGACTACGCGCTACGCTAATTTGACATTATATTTTATAACTGTTTTGATCCTAAAAGACGTAGTGTGACGTTAGATAGCCTGTAATCTTCCTCAAGAATTAGGGTGCAAATGAAAAAAAGATTTTTCTAATTCGACTGGTAGTTCTAGGGATTAGTGCATTCAAACAAAAAAAACAGATTTATTACTTAAAATATTCACAGGATATTTAGTTATATATTCACTTTAAAAATAAATATTTCAATTAAAATGAAACAAATATTTAAGGGGGCCATTCCATACAACAAACGTGATTTTTTGCCGTTTTTATAGATAATGGTACGGTACCCTTTGTGCGCGAGTCCGACTCGCACTTAGCCGGTTTTAATATTAATTAAGTATGGATTTTAGTAATTATGACAAGACACTAGATTCTCAATATCTTAAACTAATACTATACCTTGACTAGAAACTGCTGAGATTGAAGTATGGATCAAAATAAATAAAAAACTTGTATGGAATGTTATTTCCATGGTTGTATGATAAATTGTTTTAAATCGTTCACTTATAAATACAACACTGACGGTAGAAATAATATCGCAGCACTATTTTACTTACATTTGAAAAAATCCAATTTTGTATTATAAAAATTACAAACACGCCGAATAGAATTTGATTGACATGGTCCAAACGAAGTGTAACCAAACCAATAAACACGTGCATTGTCACGCACGCCCTTAATTCTCGTAAGGTGTCTATCGAAATATTTACTTGACAGACAATTTTTTTTTAACCAGTTTTACTTAGTATCTTAGGCTATATCTAAATAGAAATTTAACTCAATATTTTATGTAAAATTGAAGTAAATTGTGAATATAGAAGTGTCTACTCGGATATTCCGTCTCTCTTCATAAAAAACTACTTATATGTATGATTGAAAACTATTGATGTAAGAGCCGGATACACTACGACCATGAACGAATTAGCCACTGGACCCGACATAAAATACAAATGCATGAAAACTCGTTCAACCAAGTGAAGCATAACGCACAAAAATTTTTATTACATTATTATAACCACAGAATCAGATACACAATACATAAAAATTCACTCTATTTATAGTGTTTGAACGTAATCGATAAAATACATATATCGATGAATGAATGAATGACATTTTAGACATTATTGTTTGATTTTGCGCCGACAATCAAACCCAGAACCTTCAATGGGAAAGAAAAGGTGTATCATAAATAAGCTGTAAAACAAAGGAAATAAAGGGAGAGTGGGAGAAGGGAGAATCCAGGTGTCATCTCTACGAACTGCTTCTACCCACTATCTCTTTCCAGAAGGGTCACTAGGAAATCTAAAATTTTGTGTAATTTATGTGGTAAAATAAATTAATATTTATGATTATTACAGTGGAATAATATTCCAAGGTATATAAATGTGGTTTAAAATAAAATAAAAAATTAAGTGCACATCCCGATTATAATTTTTGCATTTAATATTTTTATTTAATTATAAAAAATATTATTATAAATTTATTGTCATCAGATTGTAGGATGCTGTGATAAAAGTATTTTATGTTATTGTACTGTACAAATAACATCATTCGATCAGTTATTTCGTCAAATATCGATATATTTTTGACATTGTCAAGCACTAGTCGATGTCAAATGGACTCACTCGACAGTTTTGTCATTCGTTCTGAATAATATAATCTAGCCATTTTATGATGGTTGTCATTATTATGTCAACAATACATAGAAATATCGACTATATTTAACATAGTTCTTCATTACTGGCGAAAGTAAAAAAAATATGCCCAAAGGTTGCATACCCCTTTTAAAAATCCATATATTCAATAAGTATCGTTGCAATTTAAAGTATTTATAAAAGATACTTCTTAATATAATTATTTATCTTTATTAGGTTTCAAAATCTTCAAATTCTCAATATTTCACCTACTTTTTAAGAATAGTTCGAAATCGGGAAATCAGCTAGATACTTTATTAAAAAGATAGTAAATTCTATGTTATTATAGAAGCTACATTCTTAAATGCATATTTATCCAAGCTTGAAATTGGTATACATTCATATAGAGGCTTGGCGTTGGCGAACCACACCACGGGGATTTTACAGTTCTTCCAGATATTATACCGACGAGATAGTAAGTACCCTTGTACAGTAACATTAAAGGGCCTCCAGAGTCCCCTTCACAAAAATCTTGGCCATTTCTCGCTACTGTACATAATTGCGATCTTATTACAGGAAACGCATCGATAGACGAATAGATGTTCCTGCATTCATTGTTTGGTATTAAATTGACAACAGCTTGGCGCTTTACGATAGACACGGGTCCGATTCCCTGTGGGTCGGTTTTACCCCAACCAGCAATTTGTAGAGGCAAGTTAGCAAACTCTGGCTGGTCTATATCAAAAGTTGGGAGGCATATAGGTCGAATAAAATCTGAAAGGTAAAACATGTAAATTTGATTTCGGAATATTGAATATCAACTTCTGAAAATTTAGTTAAAATACATATTTATGCTTACCAGTATATGGAGCGTGTTCGCGCAGTCGTAGAAGTGCTATGTCATGATAAAGGTAATCTCTGTAATAGTTTGGATGATATATAGCTTCCTCTGCGTATATTAATATATTTTCCACACATTGTTCTTCTCCCATTACAAATTTACAGTCTTTAGGAAAGGTTTTTAAATTATACTGAGCAAGTGTGACTCGAGTGCTGAAAATAAAGAACTTTATAGTTATACTCGCACTTTAAATTTAAAAAATTGTCGCGGGCTGTAATTTGATATTAATTATAAGTATATATTAGTTTTTTACCAACCGACTTCCTCAAAAAGGAGGAGGTTCTCAATTCAGCTGTATGTTTTTTTTATGTTTGTTTGATGTGAGTGATGTGATGTGGTGTAATGATGAATTTAACCTACTTCTAATTGTCATATTGACTTGAACTTTGCAAGTGTTTCTATTTCTGTTGATAGTGCAGTGGTTCGGTACCGTTGACCTAATCTGATGGTAAGGCCAGAAGGTAGATAGGTGGAACTCTTCAACGCTTAATAGTAGATACTTTGAGTGTGGGCTTATTTTGTTTGATTTGACAAGCCTTACACTTTAAAATCAGATTTTAAAGCCAGAATTATTAGTGTTACCAATAAAAGCGAATTTTAGTTTGTAAGTCTTCGTATAAAAATTGGCATCAAAGTAACTTCAACTGTTTAACCGAAAATTTTATTAAATACCTTCTTCTTACTTTGCTATTACTATGTCTATACTAAAAAGGGAAAAATAACAAAAAAATAAAAACCGACTACAAAAAAAGCACTAAAAAATAAAAAATAACTGATTGGTAGTTTTCATTTACTATACATACCTAATCAAATATGTTCGAAGTCGGTGCCAGCCGATACAAAGCAAAGCATACCTTTGAAAGTGTGTTTATTTGTTTGTTTGTTTGTCATTCTTTCACGTTGAAACAGAGTGAATTTTTTGAGTGGCGATAGTTAAAGGGCTGGAGAGTGACATAGACTACTTTTTACCGCGGGAGATTATTTCATTCCCACGGGAATACACTTTACAATAAAACCCAAAAAAATATTTGTGATCAGAATTATTTGAAACCTGGTATTGATGCAATTCAATACAATTAAATAAATACATGTTGTAGCATTTTTCGTAATTCATCCCATAAGAAGGTAAAATGGAGGATGAATGTTTATAGGAAACCTTTTTTTTTTTTAACGTTGGGAAATGCATTTACGCACGACGTGTGGGACTCACCGGCGTAATACAGCCAGTACTACCCACTAAAACCCAACAAAACCTTCCCCCGTCTTAATGGGGCGTCGCAGGATCGCTTACGCATTCAACTACGACGCCCCGACGGCAGGTCCGCCGAAGCAGACCATCACAACCATGGGGTTGCTCCACAGTCCACTCTGCTATCAGAGAAGTACCAGGAGCAACCCGCATGGTACACCGCCCTCCGAAGAGGGCCACCTCCCACCGCCCACCGAAGTGGGCAACCTCCCTGTGCGTTTCTTAGCTTCGCTACTGCTACTGAGCCCCCCCACCACGACAAGGTGAACGCACGTTGGGGGGGTTTATAGGAAACCTACCTTCTTAGTGTTTTTTGTAGTTTTAGCGCGAGCAATGCTGCGGGTTCCGCTAGTATATAATAAAAATTGTTTAAAAGTTTACCTTAGGAGACAGACATTTACTATTGCGGACTTTTCTGTAGGAACTATAATTTTTCTTCTACATTATTTTGATGTATCTCTTAAGGTTTAGCTAGCGTAAGCCAAATACATAATTTTTAAGTACGACTCGATAGAACTAGTTACTGTATTTTCTCATCAGAATGAAAGATTTTCATATAGTAAAAGCCATCCTAAATATTCACCCAAGTAGGTACTAAATATTACTAAACAAAATTTGGTCAAAATAGGTCCAGTACTTTTTGCGAGAAATGCGCAACACACAAACAGATATACAAATAAACAGACATACAGACAGACAAAAAAATTAATAACTACATATAAATCCTGCGCTAAATATAATGTTTCCATGGGAAAACACATTTACTGGTTCGAGTCACCTTTAGAAATTTACGTGTCTTATACTGGCTAAACGTGTTAAGTTTAACAGTTTAGGATACCCATCAGTGATCCATGAGTCTATCTTATAAGGTACTAACTAAAGTAGGTCGTAACTACGTATATAATACCTAATTATTTATATTTAAATAAACAGGGACGCACTCGAGCGAAGTGAGATTAAGTTGCTAGTATATTATAATAATATAAGTTTTCTTACGTATTCATAGTCACAGTGTCATTATGAATACAATGCGCTGCAGTAAGAACATATCTCGTGCTAATTAGTGAACCACCGCAAGCTAACTGTCTCCATCCATCGGCGGGATTGAAAAGTGTTTCTATATATACTATCCAAGGGAACTGCTTGAACTCCGTCTCTGTACCTCCTGTAATAATTAAAAAAAAAACCTAAAAAAAATAAAACAACAACCGACTTAAAAAAAAGTACTAAAAAGTAAAAATCACTGAGTAGTAGTTTTCATTTACTATAGATACCTAATCAAATATTTTCGAATATAATTTCGAAAATAATTTCGCTTTTTTTGAAGTCGGTTCGTTTTGAAGTTTTTATTTTCCCTTTTTAGTGTAGACATAGTAATAGCGAAGTAAGAAGAAAGTATTTTAATAAAATATTCGCTTAAACCGCTGATGCCAATTTTTATATGAAGACTGATAAACTAAAATTCGCTTTTATTAGTAATACATAATTATAAATTAAAAAAAAACCCCTACGCAAATTAATTGTCATTTAACGATTACTCTGGCACGCGTGAAGCACTTAATCGAGTAATCATACGCCAAAATACCTTACATCATTTTTAAAAAGAGCTGATTCTCTTACACTGCTGGACCGATATTAACCAAACATAGCTAAAAATCACCGCAAGGAAACTGGATTTCAAATGAAAAAAAACCGCATCGAAATCGGTCCACTAGTTTGAGAGCTACGATGCCACAGACAGACACACACACTCACAGATAGACATCGACATCAAACTTATAATACCCCTCTTTTTGCGTCGGGAGTTAAATAAAAAAGTGTGGCTCTAAAATCCGATTCTAAGGTATTGTTCTTGTGATATCATACAAAATAAGCCCAAACTCAAAGTATCTAATATTAGCCGTTGAAGAGTTTCGCCTATCCACCTTCTGGCCTTACCAGCAGATCAGGTCAAGGATACCGAACCACTGTACTATCAACGGAAATAGAATACTTATAAAGTTTCAAGTCAATATGACAATTACAAGTAGGTTAAATTGAAAAATAGCTAATGATGATTCATTAGCTATTTTTCCACCCTTAGGGGTGGTATTTTTTTTTTAAATTTAAATGGGACCAATCTGGAAGTACACACTTTCAAACAAAACAAAAATTGTCCAAATCGGTTAATAAATGACGGAGTCTTGAGGTAACAAGCATAAAAAAACACAACCGAATTGAGAACCTCCTCCTTTTTGAGGAAGTCGGTTGAAAAATTGGAAAAGAGTATGTTGTAAAAATGAAGTAGTTTTCACCTTCTATATAAAAAAGTACGTATACCTTATATATTTTATTGATTGTCTCTGCCTTTTAGTAAAAAAAAAATTGATAAAGGCTTGAAAATTCAGTTTCTAAAAATTTAATACCGCCATTTTAGTTTTTATCATAGTATGATTTTACATATTTTTTATATATACCTGCAATTCTACGACTGGGGATGATCCCATCTTCAAATGAAGCACTTTTATTTGAGGAGCGTCTATAATTATTCCTTGTAAGTAGATCTTGGAGATCTGTATAAAAGAGAATATTATTAAAAATATAATTATCGAAATCTAGGTAATAGGTAAATAAATATGTTGGGACATTAACACACAGCACCATCTAGTTCAATGGTAAGCTATGAGGCTTGAGTTATGGATACCATGGATGTTCTGACTGTTTTCAGAACTGTGCATATTCCTATGTTAAGAGACGACTGATACAAGTTTCCACGATGCTGATGGTTTTACTTTGCTTAAAACCTTACCAAATAATTTAAGCAACGCTTGTAAATTCTGGTGCCTCCATCTTGTCATCCGTTGTGTACTTTTCAAGGCATACGGGGCTTGTCCTTTGTAACATGTTAAAATATTGTCGTTGAGGCGTTCTACTAGTTCTGTCAGCAGATTGGAATCTAATGGTATTGCATACACATACTTTTCAGCCCTTTTTAAATTATCACCGTTGAGCTTTATTGTGAGGGGGGTCAGGCCATAGTCCATCACGCTGGCCAAATGCGAAATGGTGGAATGGTTTTTTCCTCAAAAAGTTTTCCTTCACCATAAGGAAAACGAGTAAGATTCCTGAGTTAAATTTATCTATTATTTTCAGAATACCACCGCGGTCATCTAGACAATTTACAAAGCTATTTTGTATTTTATATATTTGTGATGTACTTTGAGTAGTTTTGAGTCTTAAAATTTTAGGTCCTCTTTTATCTATTCTTGTAAATTACTTTTATTGTCTTAGGTATTTTTTGATGGTACAATTTATTACTTTACTTATTTTTGTATTTTTTTCGGTGTGATTCATTGCACTTCTTTTGTTCTCTTCCTTTTGCTAGGGTGATAATATTGATTTTTTAGAGACTGGTGGATTTAGAAATGTTTAATATGGTATTTACAAACACATGGCTTAAATCGGTATTGAACGTACCAATTGTCGATTTTGCTCTTCTAGCTCTTCAAATTAGTTTTTTAGATCAAAAACGTTGATGGCTGGAGGGGTTATTATAGAAATAACTTTAAAAACTTGTGAGAAATATTATTTTTTATATTTTAGCGGACATCGAAATATAAAAAATATATAAGAAATATTGCAGTTTTGATGAAGATTCGATAATATCTTTAGAAAATTGGACATTTACGTCATATCATGCCCACTACCGGGCCAAGCTCATAGATTACAATTTTATAAGATGAAGTCATGATGATTGCTCTGTAGTCCTAGTAAACGTATGTATAATTTAAAAAAATTAGAAACTTACAGACATGTTTACAAAAACAAACTTACAACACTTTCTACCATCCTACATGTATTTGTGTTACGTATTTCCCAAAACTGAATAAAAAGACTGACTGAGTTTTAAAATCGTGTACATTCTTGTATGCATATATTTTGATTTAGATGTAAATATAAACAGTACATTACCCTCTACTCTTTGAATACCAGAAATATCTTGGCCACAGCAGCCTGTAGCAGGATCTGGTGGCAGGCTTGACTGGACTTCACAGTTCCATTGTTCTAGAAATATTTTAGCTTAGAATTAGTGTTTGTCTGTATTAATTCTTTTTTTCATAACTTCAACAATAAAATTACGCTAATATAATTTAGTTTTACAGTAGCTTTTGCCTGCGGCTGCGCTCATATAGTTTCTGTTTCTTAATAAATGGGCTCTAAATGTAAAGTTTTTTAATCTGACTGGTAGTTTTACACATTAACATCACTTTGAAAAAAAAATAAAAATATGAATAACTGAATACCCATTACCCATAGCTTTGTAATGGAAACCGATTTACTCTGATGTATCGCTTATAATTAATTCTTATCTTTATTCTCAACCAGTGAACTTACTCTCACTTCGCTCGGGCACGTCTCTAGGGACGGGCACATTTCTACAATTTAATTAAATAGAACGTTTTTAAGAGGAACAATTCTGTAATACATTGTTCTCACATAACTTTGTTAGTTTTTAAGAGTTGTTCAGTCGGCACGATTTTTTCCGAAAATTTCAACAATCATATTTCAGCTAATTTACACAGAACCTTAATGAATTATACACCTAAACCTTCCTCATGAGTTATTACATCTATTGGTGAAAACCGTATTGAGATCCTTTCAGTAGTTTTTAAGTTTATCGCGTCAGAAAAACAGACAGACAGACGAAGCGGGGGGACAGTGTTTACAATATTTTAGTGACTATATTAAATATTAATTTGTACTATACCTGTGCTATACACTACTAAACTTGAAATAGTAATGAAAATAAATATAAAGCTTTTATCGTACATTCTTTCCATAGTTCACATATGAACACAATACAGTCAGTGGAAACAATAACATATTAATTTCACTCACCTTTCCTTCTTATAGCTTGGTTATAGGCAGCTACTATGTGTAACTAATTGAGAATAACGGGATTTGATCTAATAATTTTATGGTAAAATGCGTGAAGTGATATAGCGATAGCAACCAATACCAACTGATAGCGACTATTGATGGTAAAATATCATCTATTTGATTTAAATAATAATTAGTATACAATATACATATATTATTATTTTAATCACAGATGAAGAAAGTTCATTTTAAATTACATATAATATCCTATTAATTAATTAATAATATTATAAAATATGCGAAAGTTTGAACGGGTTTGTTAGTCAATTACGCTAGAACGGCTGAACGGATTTAGATAGCACAGGAGGTACATTAGTCTAAAATAACAGAAAGGTTACTTTTTATCCCGGAAAATGTACGATTCCCGTGGGATAGATTTGTTTTTGTTCTTCACTAGGGAAGAACCCGAGCAAAGCAAGGCTGAGTCGCCTATCTATACATATAATAAAATTGTAATTAAGCCGAATCTGTACATTGTATATTTTTTGAAAATCTTATTGAAATAAATATTATTATCGATACAGAGGCCAAATCTACAGTTTTTGAATGTTTGTCTGTCTGTCTATCTATTACCACATCACGGAAAAACCACTGCAAGGATTATGATGAAATTTGGTATGGTGATAGCTGGTTATTCGAGTTAACATATAGGATACTTTTTACCGCGGGAAAATATCTTATTTCTGAGAAAAAATACAAAAACTGCAATGTAATATTATTCTAATATTATTAAATATTATTGAGTATCCTAATATGTAAAAGCTAAGAATTTGGTTTTTGGTCATCTGAACGCGGGTGGAGCCGCGGGCAATGCTAGTTTCTCTATATAGCTTAATATTATTATAAAGTATACATATGTAGGTACAAATATAAACAATGTACTTGAGGCTAACACATTTTTTTTCTAAGGCGACAGTTTCCTACGATAGACTTCTGAGTATTTTATCTTTTTATTTGCTTTTATTGTTATAAGTTTCTATTATATTACGCACATTATAACATCTTTATCGCGATATTGATGTAGTTGAGATAGTGAATAATTTTTGATATGGTAGATAATTATTAATTACATACCAGGGTTGTTTATTTTTGTAAATTAAGTTTTTAGCAATAAATAAAAAACTCATTTAAAAACGCAAATAAGTTAACCACGACAAATGTAAATCTCAAACGTAAATACAAAATTTGCCATGGCTCAATAATAATATTATGAAGCTGTATAAAAACGTGACAAATTATTTAAAATGTAAAAAAATAATTCATAAAATCGAGGTATAAGACTTATGTACAATAAAATAAATAAAATTTTAAAACAAAATAAACCTACTATATTAAAAATATAAAAGATAACTTTAGAAATCCAAAGAAAATATACCAGATTAAAAATCTTAAGCTTAGTATGCATTTTAAAAGCATTTGACGTATAGGGTTTTACCAAAACAAAATTGTTGTGGTATAAGAAGACCGCTTTAGATTTTTTCTATACCTACTTAAAAGTAGGAATACATAATATGTAATACTCTAGTAATACCGAGTACTCGTAATGTAGCATTATATAAATCTCAATGATTCATAGTACTTTTTCAAATTACACATAGATCAATTTTGGCTTAAATAATTAATATATTATGATTTTTTCTTTATGGTTATAAATATAATAATGGCAACACTAAAAATGTAGATTAATAATTAATATTTTTAAAATTGTAATAATTATAATAATAACAGCTCAAATTAAATAAATAATATTCTATATTCAATTATAAAGCCAATTAAAGTTATATAAAAATGTTTAAAGTTAAAAGTTAAAATATTGTAAGGTACTTTAGTGCCATTTTTCAATTTTTTGAAGTCATTTTGTTAATTGTGGGTAGGCTGTCTGTAACAACTATATAATACCTTAGAGACATGTAACACCTCAGTCTCTCCCGTGACCATGGATGCTGTAAAGCATTCGAAACGTCGGGAAACAAAAATGCAAATAAATCCGCGACAAAATCCGAAAAGATAGTTTTATTTAAAATGTCAAATATTCGCGTAAATCTAAGAAAGTATTATGTTATATTAATTAAAAAAAATATGTAAAACTTTTAATGATAACTAAGAAAAAACAAATTAAAAAAAAATATCATACATTTTCAATGAATTGTTTCTTTGAACATTATTGTATGTTTAATTGATTATACATGCTGGGCACAGGCTATTTTTCAATTCCATAAGTTCCCACAATCCTTAATTTCAAATTCCTTAAGTTCTTTCAATTAATTAAGTTATTTCAGATATACAAATTTCCTCACGATGTTTTCCTTCACCGTAAGACAAGTGGTAATCATGATGGAAATGATTCGCACATGAAAATATCAGAGTTGCGAGACCCAGGGTTTGAACTCGCTTCACTCGGTTTCCCAAGCGAGCGTGTTACCACTGGGCTACAACTGCCTTCGAAAAAATATATATTTTTTAAATCAATCTCTCTTTAAATCTTGATTTTCGTCGGCTGCTACTATCAGTGAGTCTAGTTTCATTACTGTTTTGAGAGCACCAGTACTCAAAATCCACAAAGGGAATAGCATACCCTTTTAGTAATGAGTCGACGTACGATCGGCGTCCACGCACACCGCTTTGTAGGAAAATCAATTAACGCGAAACGGCCGACTGTTGACTCACAGAATTGAATTTGACTATTTGTGTTCAGCAACAACAGGGGGGTTAACTTACTTTGTCATGTGTTTTTATTTGCATTAAAATTCGATAGTTTAACGTTTAATAAATATAGATGAAAGTTCTTTTGTACGAATGTTTGTGTCTGCTCGGAGGGTGGTGAAAGGTAGAGACATTCTTTATGAAGTTTTAGAAAATTAACCTGTAAAGGAATAAAAGTATCTACACTATAAAATTTAATATAAACACAGGTATCATAAATGAAGTTAATACTATATACTCTAAAACTAGCGATTCACCCTTGCTTCGTTCGGGTTCGTCACTAGTTTGCTTCCCCATACAACCTTCCATCCCCATTTTCATCCTCTTAAGGGATGATTTCCGGGATTAAAACTATCCTATGTTCTTTCCAGGGTCTCAAACTATCTTCTTACCAAATTTCATCTAAATCCGTTCAGTAGATCCAGAGATTACCCCCTACAACGTCACAAACTCACAAACTTTACCTCTTTATAATATTAGTATAGATAGATGAATACAATAAAATAAATACTGTACACCTATGCGAGTTTGAGCAATTACGTATATCAACACCTCTTCTAGATCATTGGAAAATCCAAAAACATTAGATATAAAAAATAATCAAACTATGTGAATAACCGTATCTTAATTAGTATTATCGTTATTATCATATATACTTCGTTAAACCGCCATTATGTCGAGATATTATTAAATCTGAGTGTTTCCGACTTAATGCCACAGGCTTCTGTAACTAGCCACTTTGTTCTAATGCGATCCAGCGGGAAATGATCACTGTTTCTTATATTATTATGAACTTTAATAATCCTCAAATGGTTTTGTAAGTGCCTTAGGACAAATAAAATTTAATTTAGTATATGTATGCTTGAATAAAGATTCAAATTAAAGTAATTCTTTAAGAGATAATGCTGTGGTGATAAACATTCACTAATATTAAGTGTAAGATGTGGTTTCGTGCGTATAGTATAAATTTTTATTAAACCAGGTTGGTTTGCGCTCAGTATTTTTTTTAAATAGTTTATGCATCGTGATGAAGGTTTATATCGCTCTCTATTCAATAAACAAATTCTAATGAAAAAAATCACTCGATCGAGATATTCGACTAGCTTAAAGGCTACAAAAAGACAATCTAACAAGCACATTTTCTTAAGTAGTACATTTATTAAAGATTTTGTCTGTGGATCATGGGTTCTTAGGGTCGATTCCTGGTTTGGACCGAAAGAGTAATTACTGGGATATTTTTAACCGACTTCAAAAAAGAAGGAGGTTCTATGTTCGTCTAAATGTTTCTTTATGAACATATGTATATTCAATGATTTCTCGGAAACGGGCTGACCGATTTTGCTCATTTAAAACGTATTGTATTAAAGTAGGTTCCGAGGTGGTCCCATATATTTTTGAGAGCTTCCGTAATATTATAAATGTGTTGGACATTAAGGTTATTAGTTTTTTTTATAAAATTAATGTCAGATATTTGCAATTTCATAACAAAATTATTATGCTGTCAAAGTTTTAGATAGAATATTTAAACTTATATTAAATGGATAAATGACATGTAATTGCAGTCATATCTATCATAGATTTTACATTATTTGTCTGCATAAATCTGTCTTGTAGGGATAAATAAGTTTGATCTAAATACACTTGGGCTTTATGTTCGTATCCAAAACAACATTTTAAGCTCTTTTTATCTATGTAATAAAATAATTAAAATTTTAGTTTGAATACTAATATAGTATTATATTATCTATAGTTTAAATAGTCACATGGTATAAATATCTCACATGATTTTGTTAGGTGATATTTTTTTTTATTATATTAACCCCATATAAAATATTAAAAGTTTTGATAAGCCGTCTCAATCAATAAATGAAGTCTGCAAATTATGAAAATGTATCCGCTTTAAGGAAGTTTAAAAGGTAATAGGAAATTCTGCGGGATATTCCGTCGCCGTGTTAAACCGATTTGTCTCTATGCGGAAGCCGCCTAATATTCATCTTCCGTGCTAAATTCATTTTCTCGAAAATATGTCTGGTTTTAGCTCTCATCGCTTTATCTCTGAGCTAGCTTTAACTTGCAAAATTTACTCACGTGCTTTCTCTTTTTGACGAATTGACAGAAATTTCCGTCTACATTTTATAATAGAGAAATTTTGCTCTCATGAATTTGAATATGAAACTGGGTTTAATAA